GCTTTGTGTGCTGTGTTCGAAATGAATGCGATAGAATCCGTCAAAAAAAAGTTAAAAAAAGTTAAAAAATAATTAAGTTAAACGGTTTTATTGAAAATAAAGGTAAAAATGATTCTACATTATGTACAAATAATGTACTAAACCACTCTCATCAAGACATTGACCAGTCAAAAAAATAAAATCGTTGGGCGTGTGAAATTTCTATCAAGTCAACCGCTAAATATAAACGCCATATTAAAAAACCTAAGATGGTTACTTAATGTTAAATACAGATTTAATATAACTGCAGGATCATATATGCCAACGAAGAGGCACCGCTTCCGCAGGGAGATATGTGTGCCAACTTTATTACCTTTTGCGCTAAATAGGAATTGGCATGAGTTTAACCGAGCGACCTATATATTAAATAACTTTGAATTTGATCTTTCTTAACCTCGCAGTCTCCATCGCAATTTGACTTTGACTTTAAAATACACAATTTTAGTAAAAAGAAACATTTTATGTATGTTAATGAGGGTTATAATGAAATTGTATTGTCATTAACATTTACATCTTTAATGCCTTAGCGTCATTATACCGATTACGAAACGATAACGCTGACGCAGTGTCATCAAATATAAGAAAATAAAACAGCTAAATAACACCTCAAACGCCTTTTAACCGTAATCTGATATTTCACTAAACTTATTTAAGTAATCATATAAATCACGAAGTAAACCGAAAACCATTTCAACTGACAAATGCGCGATACGGCGCTCTACAAAATGAATCCCCTTGGATTCAAATAAAATGTCAATTTAGTCTCCAAATAAAAGGCTAGGCAATATGAATTCAATCACGTCCGTCTCTTCATCGAACCGTGACGAGACGAGAGACCAGAAACTGCGCCGTTGGCCGCTCCATTAAAACTGGAAATGACGAAGTTAAAAGACACGACGGCAATCTCTGGGCGTAGTTAACGCTTAAAATGAACGACACTACTCGTACATAAAAAAAAAACAATTGACGTGTCATTTCCCAAGACCGCTGCAAGGGAATAAAATGACTACAGTGGGAGTCATATACTCCGAGTGATTTATTTTATGTTTATTTCGATTTTTCACAAGTCGTTTGCATGTTGCAAGCCTTTACGCAATCGAGTGGGTGGACGACAAAGATCGTATTTTTGGAAGAAGACTGTAAAAATACGTCGTTTTGTTTATGCAAAATCAATGCCGTATTATTAAGAATTATAATAATTAACGTTTAAACCTGCCAGTGAAAACTGATCGTCTGCCATCATAAGTAACAATTATTAAACTTTGTGTTAGAGTAATGTACCAATATAAATTGAAGGACTGTACTCTGGGGCTCTCGACCAAATATAGGGCCGGAATACCAAGTGTTTATATCCAGTTACTTCAATGAAATAATAAAAATTAATAAACAGTACAAGAATCCAAAAATATCGTTTTATTAACTAATTAGTGTAACTCTGTAGACTTTACGGACCACTGCGTAGTTCAAAACGATACAAATTAACGACAAATCGATGTCACAACCATATCGAGGAACGGGAAGAACTATGGTTTTTCAACCGACTTTAAAAAAGGCGGAGACTTTTTTATCTTTGTAAATAAATATGTACTTGTAAAACATAACCTTGCATAGTTTAGAATAAACGTCTGATTCTATTGTACCTCTTATATTCCCTATCTCTAATAAAATCAAATATCTAAAAATAAACAGTTTCAACACAAATATGTGTCTCGTCGTTTATCACTGACCTTGGCAGGTTTTACACGGACTATTACTCTATCAAAGATAACTAACTTTATATCGTAGTTTATGTAACCCAATTGTTTATATTTTCATGTTGATTACATGGTGACTAACAATAGCAGTGTAAATTCTTTTCGTGAAATTAGTTTTCAGTTTCACAATGTTCGTCTATGTAAATTATTATTTATAAAAAATTAATAACAATAATAGATGCAAGATTTAATCGTTTTTTTTTATGTCAAAAAGTTGTCAAGCGAGCAGGCGGTCCACCTGATGTTAAGAGACATGACAAGAGAGAAGAATGACAACCTTTAAAAAATTGGGCCGCCGTTACCTCATTCACTAGACAAAACGCAAAATTATAAAATCGACTTCACGCCAGTTATTTTTGAGGCTTAATATTTTCCGGACGAACGTGTCCAATCGTGCACCAGTCAAAACTGCTGAGTGGTCATACCACATTTTAACGTGGTACAGCTACGCAAATTACCTAGTTTCTATTAGTTAGTATTCTGAACACAAGAGCTTCTTGTTTAAGTAAATGTTAATAGAAGTAATTGACCGTCTTTGATGTGGTCCTGCGACATGTGGAAAAGGAATTGAACTAATTTAATATAATAATTAGAGTATCAATAAATAAAAGCTGCAGTAGTACCGTCAGCAGCAACGGCTTTGAATACGATACGGTTGAGTCACCAACTTCTTTTGTTGACTACAGGATGCTGTAACGGCCTCTAGAGGATTTAACACACGTCAACAAGAAACATCGACTACTCAGTGACGTGAAGCAACAGCCCGCTACGTTAATTCGTTTTGCTTGTTACTGGTTTCATCGCTTTCCAAACCCCGTCCTTTGTAATGCGAAGCCATTATTTCGCGTGACAGTACAATCTCCATAACATTACCTTGCTCTTTGAGCTTTAATGTCAATACTGGCATCTAATGCACTATTGCGCAATATCACACCGTAATGAAATCAACAATGTGTTTTCGTTTCACGGGGTACAAAATTAACGTCATAATTATCCATTTCATTTGACAGTGGGAGGATGTGTAAAAAGTTGTCACACAATTTAATTTTAAATGAAATTTATAAATTACGTCTCTGTCGCACTTTCAGTTTTTGTTATATTTGATTATATATATGAATGATGGGCACAGGTTTACTTAATAGACGAAACGCAAAAATATGATAGTTCCACCTTACGCTGGTCTTTTGTGGGGCTGCGGTAGGTACTTTACCGGATGCCTGCCCATCCATGCAATAACGAAAAGTGCTGCTTGGAACCATCACAGTGTGATAACGAGAAAGCAGCAACGAAAGGAGAGTGCTACAAGAGGCTGAATCAGTGTTAGCACTTAACTCAAATTAAATTCGTTCTTTCACAAAGTTTAGCCGAAAAGACTTATAAACAAGAATCCCCTCGACGAGAAAATTAATTTTATGCCAGTTAAGAGCTAATCGATGAATTTAATTTGAATGCAATTATAACTTACGATGCGTGTAAGCGTAGATAATGCGGCCACCGGAGTGAAGAAACGGGGAAACGCATATTTTACTAGCAGTAGAAATTTGTTTCCCAATTATTTGCTCGGTTCTAAAACAAGTTCAGCATAAAATATGGGTGAGAAGTGATCAATTGGGCGTCCATCTCGCATGGTAGGTATGTTCAAAAGTTTTAGAAAATATAACAGATTTTTTTTACAGAATTAAAGAGCACTCAGCATTTGAACTATGTAATAAGATTTCAAAAAGTTGATGCTCATTTTTGTATGGGGACATACAAAAGTGATCATCAACTTTAGATCTAGAATTTATTCATTATTACTTTAAAACCTGCCTATTTTGGTTTCTTCAGCAAAAAAACATTGTTTTGTTGCTGAAGAAGTTGAGCTTGTACCGTCCAAAAACTTTAATGACAATATTTAGTATTTATATATTATCAATAATAGTGTAAACATTTATTAGCATAGTAAATAATTATGAGGTTGTATCGTATTTATATGTAAATTTTTGTTGTCAAAAAATTATTTGTTTATATCAATCATAAACTGCAGTTCTAAAACTACAACTAGAAATCAAATTTCAATTCAACATACATTTTTAATATACGATGTTTGACATTTTTAGCGCAGAAATGATCACCGTTGTTTAAAAACTACGTAAAAGTTTGTGTACAGTTGAAATGCGGGCAATTAGTATTCGTCTCTACTGTCGGTACTATAATTTAATCTGGTCGAGTTAAATACTGAAGTATTTAACTCGACCAGATTAAATTATTTCTTTTTTTATAAATTTTGCTGTTAAAATTTTTGATTGTTTTAGAAGTTACCACTTAAAGTATATAAAATACATGACGCAAAAATATAGCAAGTGCAAGACGGGAGGATGAATTCCCGAACAAATTTGCAGGAACTCGATAGATACAGGAGCTCGTTCTGGGCTTCAACGATAAGCAATATTGCGCTTAGTGGCAATCTTTGGGGCGGTCAAGCAGTGTACTTGAGAAGCCGTAATTGTGATGAAAAGTGTGAAGAAAGCTAATGGGGCAAATCGGTAACAGTCTAGCTAGAGAAGCCCTTGATATTAGTCGTATTTTGTTATACGATCTGAGGCTTTCCGATTTTGTTATATGATCTATGTAGGGTTGAACATATGAACATCGAAAAATTTCTCATCACACAGATCATATAAATAGTACCACAAACGCACTATTGAATAGGTAATAGTAAAAACCATTCATTTTGCCCAATCTAAAGATTATACTGATGAATTGATATTTTAATAGTCAAAGAACTAAATGCCAAGGTGGACGAGAAATAACGTCGGGCTCGATTATAAATACAAAGTACTGAATAACCAAAGATCGTTTAAGAACTTCAATAGTGAACTGTTTAAATTATTTTGCGTAAAATGCAACTGATAAAAAATACTATTAAGTATCCATCTTTCTGTCATTTAACTACACTATGAACTTATTATCTTTATTTTTATAAAATCCTTTACGTTTTGGCAATTCCCTCACAGCGCGGGCTTTTTCCAGTGGGACGCGGTTGTTACTCATATCAAACAACTTCGTTGTAGAATCATAATTATATAGAAATAAGGCTGAATGGCACAGGTAAAAACGGTTACGCATTATACAATAATAACGGAGACGCCGGAACAACTGGTTGAATAAATTACTTGGCATCGGACCGTACACTATTCCGGACATACTCGATTGGCCGAGCCTGAGATGCCGTCGAGCGATGCGAACATCGCGGCGTCATGCTCGAGCACGGAGAAAGTGAACAGCGGGAACAATGGAAGACGAATGGTCAGGCCTCGACCTAAACGCAACGAGGCTATTTACGGAGCGACGGATGCTGCGTTTCATTCAGCTAAGACTAAAATACAACACGCGTCTAAATTTATGAAACGCGCGACGAGAATTGATTATAGTAGGTGCGAGTAAATATTTGAGAAATTGTCACTGTAAAACTAATGTGGATTTTGTCTTCCGTACATTGGATTTACATTTTAAGTTACATAATGTAGCTATGTGTACAAAATTAAGTTGCCCCAACATTTTTTTTTATTAGTGTTTGACTATCGTCACACCGATGTCCGATTGCAAGCACACCTACTACATCGTAGTTCATAATTCATTAAGAAAATTTAAGTAATTAGTGACAATGTGCCCAATCAAGAAAAGCCGGACCACAATTGACGTAAATTCTATTTTATTATATCAGCAACAGGTAACGGTACAGTCGTTACGTAAACATATTAAAGTGAAGGTCGTACCAGTAACCGGTTCAGAAAGTAACCATTAGACGCCAGTAGTTGTGAGTTTTATTTTTTCTCACTTTCGGGTAATTTAGCGATACACATGGGAAATACAATAATAAGACCGCGATTTGTGAAATCAAAAGGGGAAAGTTCCAGATAAAATTAAAACATTCAATAAAATAGTGGATTACGAAGAAGACGTTTTAATTAAAATAAGTACGACATAATGCAATGAAATATTACATTGAAGTAAGAAGACAGAAATTTTATTATGTTGCAGAAAAAAATTGTATCGTAAAAGTGTAAAATGGTGACCTTAATTTTGATGCCTAAACTGACTGGCAGGGCTTAAAAAGAAAAAATATGCGCACGTTGAGAGGAGAAATCGTCGATTATTGCCGCTATATGGTCCACATTGATCGAAACGCACTTACAAGCCGATACAAATCGGACATTGGACATAGTTACTGGTGAAACTCCGTGACGATTGTGCCATATAACGATGAAAAAGAAATGAATGTACACCTTAAGAGAGCTCGTGCTTCGCCAACAATTTTAAGAAACAAAGAAAAACGCTTAAATATGTAGGTCATAAATCTCATTTTTAAATATAATTACTACACTATGTTCCGGATTCCATAAATCTTGAACAATTTTGGATATATTTCATCTAGTTAATGCGTATTTATGATATATTTAATCATCGAAAGAAATAGAAGACTCTCAGCACATCCCTCTGAAATTAATATGCAATCAAAATTAAAAAATTATGATTATTGAATGGTAAGGAAATATTTTATAAAACAAGACACTTTTTACAAGTCAGCACAAGATCTTTAAGTCTTGACACTGGTTTACCTTATGTTAAACTTGACCTATTGCATCAATTGGACCAAATTTTTGATCATTTTATTGTTGATGGCAGCCTAGTTAACCCATAACATCCGAAAGCAAAAAAAATGTAATCAATGAAACAACTGTTAAAATCAATGAAACAATAAAAGTATAATAAGATTATCCTTATTCGACTTACGCCCGGTTTCTGAAACATTGATCATTGTAGATGTCAACTAATCGTCTGTCAAATGGATTTCAAATTACAATTTAGGTACCAAAAGGATGGTTAAACTCTCTGAATTGACCAGAATGATCTTCTTTATGATTAGAATGATCAATTCAAAGAGTTTAAACATCCTTTTGGCAACTAAAATGAAATTTGAAATTCATTTGACAGCTGATTAGTTGACATCTACGTTGATCAGTGTTTCAGAAACCGGGCGTTAGGTTGGGTCGGCACATGTGAATGATGTTGTTATTAGTATTGGCTATGTTTTTTACAATAGGCTGCCTATGGATGTCAAACTTCTTGAAAACAAACAGCCACATGCAGAATAATTAATTGTGTGCCACACGAATATGTTTTCCGTTTGGGAAATGAAACCGCGAACCCGGCGCCGAAGCCTATGGCATAGCAAAAGTGCCACTGAGTCAACGATACCAATAATAGTATTACGTCTTACTTCAACAGTATACAGATTTTAGTTGATAAACATTATGTGTACCTAGTAGTTTCTGTCACATAAAAACTTTTAAATTGCTACCACAAAACATTTATTGAATTCGATTTTCGAATCCTTATTAATATTATAAACGCGAAAGTTTGTATGTATGGATGGATGTTTGTTACTCTCTCACGCTGATTGGATTTAACGAAACTTTACAATAATATCGCTTATAAACATTTTTTAATAAATTCTTTTAATTTTATTAGCCATATTTTTATGTATATCTATCTTTCGGCCTGAATGTTACGCCTTCAGCCTATTCTACGCAGACGTAGTCGCGGGCAGCAGCTAGTGTTTTATAAAAATGTGTACTATTTCGAATTTCATTTATTTTTAAATATTGATTGGACGCTTAAAGAAGACCGAGTTGCGCTTGTTGCCTTGCATCCATGGCGCTTAAATCTGATTTTCGAACTACTAAAAAGTTTGAATTGTTTACCGCTCCATTTAACGATGTAATGAAAATTCAAGTGGGGAAGACAGAAAAAGAAGTGGTCGCCTTTGCACTATTCACTCCAATAGTGATAGAAGCTGTGAAGGCGCGAATCCAAATAAATTCAATGCGTAGACTGAAACTATTGGCCCTTCATCTCAGATGGGGATAAGCTAGAATCACGATGAAAAGGGTGTTGAATGAAGACTTAGGGCTTCGAGCTTATCGAAAAAAACGACACTGTTTACATTTCGATTTGCGTTTAATGGAGCTGAAACTGAAGAGATCCGCCGTTTTGTTGAAATAGTACGCTGGAAAAGAACACCGTGAAATTCTTTCTCAAATACAAAAAAATACCGTGAAGGAGAGTGAAGATGCGAGCAACCGAATTCCACGTGTCCAGCGAGGCCATATTCCATCTATCTGTTTTAGTAACTTTGTTTTGTTGGTATCTTTATGGTTACTGTGTCAATTATTTCAGAATAATCATGTGACAGAACTTATGACCAGACTAGGTATTATTTCAACATATAGTAATCAGAGTATAAAAAAGATTAAGTATAATATACAAATAAAGACATAAGTTATTTAATTTTTAGACAGTTTTTTTTTTTATGTAAGAAGGTAGCAAGCAAGCTGGCAATTCATCTGATGTTAAGTCATCATTGCTGTTGTATTACAAATGTGTTGCCACCTTTTGATAAAATGGGCTCCAGCTATCTGATTCAACAGACGAAATGCAGAAACATAACACTTCCACTGTACACAGGTCTGTGAGGTTGTGGAATTTCCCTGAACGTACCTGACCATTCATGCTACATCAAAGACAGCTGCATGGCCCTAAAGAGTGCTCATCGTCAATTATAATAGTCCAATTAATGTTTGACCAAATGTTTGTTACAATTTACAACAATTGTTACAATTGTATCACTGACTATCATTGAGTTAAAATCTACAGAAAAGGAGAGGTATCCTCCTACTATTTTTCTAAGCCATTATGATAAGGGCATGATTTTTTTAAAAAAAACCTATACTGACATTTAATATATATAGTCTGTATTAATTGTTTTTAGACAATTAATAATTAACCTGTCAAACAGTTATGCTATCAAATCCTTAAATGAACTTAATTAATTAATAAAATAAAAAATAATTAAACCTTCAATTGATTTCTGGTAATGAATAATAAAATAACAAACTGCATTAGATACACATCACATCATCATAGTTTTGTACCTAATGATTTTTAAAATACATTTTAGAAGATATTCACATTATTTGAAAGAAAACGTTTAAAAAAAGATATTTTAGTTATAATTATTATAACATTTATTATTGATAGTAAACATTAGGGAAAATGAATTGAAATGAGCATGATTACAAAGGAAGTTTTGTTAGGAATGTTTATGATCTCATTAACTAGACTACAAACTTTCTAATATTGCAACAGAAATAAGTCATTTTATATTATTGTCAATTGCAGTTTGTATATAAATCTTTAAAATATATATAATAATAAATTTTCTTTTCTTTTCTTACCTGTTCTAGGAGAAACAGGAACAGCAGGCTTGGGTGCAGCATTTGAGCATAGACGACCTATCTTCGTAGGTGGTTTTAAACCTGAGGGTTTAGACAGTGATGTAGGTCTGGTTTGCTCTCCTGCTCTCGGTATAGTTGATGCTGTGGTACTGACAGATGCATTGTCTGATGAAATTGACGATGGTGCTGGCGGTACTCCGATATTCCCTGGTGTTTCTTGTTCACTCATTTTTTTTATTTTGTTTCACTATTATTTTAAAAGTAACTACGAAGTCATAATTGAAACATAAAAATCCTCACTATGCTGATAAACAAAAGCCGTAAGCAAACAACTCGTCTCAAATAAACTTGCGACTAATAAACTAAAAATATCGCAAGTTCCCGCGCAATAACAGGACACGCAATCTGGATCACGGCCATAACGGAACACGTTAACGTAAGCTAAATGGATTTTTTTTGCAAGAACCGTACTTTTACATCACGTACAGAAAATTAGATGACCGCAATAGTATCAAATTTTCAAATATTATTCCTAATTATAATAATACCCCGTAAATATAAATTTATTTTCAAATCTTACATAGAATATTCTAAGAGCATACCTTGAAAAAGTAATAAGACCACTATGGTGATATTTGTGACTTAGAAATACTCGCGAAATTTTTACCGCTCGCCGACTCAGCTGAACTTGACAACGTTATCACTACACGTAAAAATACCTACAATCTAAATTGATTTATAAACATTAACTTTACGTTTTCACCAAAAGCACATCAAACACAAATCAAAGCTACTAAACATTTAGGAAAAAAATCCAACTATTTAGTCAGTAACACAAATTTCACAGTACAAAGCGTATATTTCAAAAACAGGAATACATTGCATTGTACCACAGAACGTTTAAATTTTTTTTATTAAATAGCAGCATCGTTGATTGACCGTTCAGTCAAGGAGATTGGGTCTCTACTGCTCGTTTAGAAACTGGTTTTAATACAGAAATTGCATATTTTTTTATACAAATAGTCTGAATTTTTATCGATAACACTTTCCACCGTACTTTTAATTATGCTTCTTTTTAAGTATTCGAAAATTATAAGTAACAGATGCAAAAAAGATTATTTATCATTTATCACCCGAAAAATCAGGCAAATTCAAACAGAAAAGAGTAACAAGTTAACTTATTTGTACACTAACAACAACTAAATTCATAGTCTTATTACGTATTTTTTAATTACACGAAGTTAAAAAGTATTATCAAGTGTTAATTATCATTTAAGAAATGTATATTATCAATGAAAATATTATTAAATGTATATTATAATTTTTTACTGTAATTTGTATGACGTATTATTCACTGGGGGTTGCAGTTGACATTGTAATAAGCTGTATGGCTAAATGCTGTGTGATTTCCGCCTTCTAAATATCTCAAAATCGTATAGAAAACGAATAAATTGTTTAAACATTAAAATCTTAAAAGCGAGCTTATTGTTGAAAATATATTTTTATGCTCGTTGAACCTTGAATCTTATGGCGGGGATAAGAGGTTATTGAATTTTTGTGACACTTTTAGAATCAATCAAAAAATCCATTGTACATACTGCATCTCCGCGAGCCTAGGATTAAGATCATATAAAGTTTTGAACCTCGGCTTGCAATACAATCATTAGAAGGTGAATCTACACAGATGAAATTTATTAGCCTCATTTTTGTTCTATAAATTTTATATCTATTGTTTTTAATTACAGTAACAGGATACAATGCATGATGTGGTTATTCAAAAAAAAAATCAAAAATATATTTATTCACATAGACGCTTGCGCATTCTTATGAAATGTCAAAATTTTACATAAAAATTAATACGTTCGTAAGTTACCACCGGTTCGGAAAGCAATTTCTGTTGAGAAGAAACCGGCAAGAAACTCAACAGTTGCTCTGTTGAGTTTCTTCCCGGTTAACTTATAAATGTGAGAACAGTTATCTGTTGTACTATGTATCAAATAATTTGTATTTATATTAATTGCCTGCATCTTACTTTGCTGTTGTTGTTTGTTTTTTCTTTCATTGGTATCTTACATTGGTTACCTTACGTTGGTTATCCAATAAATAAATAAACGAAGTAAGCCGGTTGAAATTGTAATTTAAAGGGTGATAGATAACGCGCGAAACTATTGCTTTACGAAAATTGATTCAGGAAAACAAAATAAAAAGTTCATATTTAATTGGACTTTTCTCACAGGGCCTGCGGAGTTATGAGCGGTCAGATTTTGTAACGGTGTTGTCGTCGTGCATCGGCTTCTTTGTTTTCTCTAGCAACATAATTATGTTGTCTACCTATGAACCTATTCCAACAAAGCTGCTAACGTTGCTCCATAAAAAATCTTGATTACAAAGTGTGTCTGTGTTTGCATACTCTGTGGAATTAGGTCTCTCTTTGACAACTGTCCTATTTGACATTTACAATGAGAAAAAAAAAGACTGTTTGTGATTTTTATGTTTAAATAGTTATCAATTTACGTCGTTCAAAGCCGTTTTATTCAGTTTTAAACAATATATTGAGTATGTATAGAGCAACATTTATATAATGAAGCTTATACACAAAAATATTGAAAAAGATGGCTGCGGGTAAGTCATGTAAAGAAATAAAGTTTTCATTAACAATTAAAAGTAATGTAACATATGGAGTGCGTTAATTAAATTTTAGAAGTATCGGCCTTATCCCAGAAGAACCAGAAGATATGTGGCATGCCTACAACCTAATAGCAGAAGGCGACGCAGTGACTGCATCAACTGTAAGGAAAGTACAGACTGAATCTTCTACTGGTTCTTCTACTAGTAGCCGTGTGAGAACTACTCTAACAATCAGAGTCGAGATAATCGATTTCGACACTCAAGCATGTGTTTTGCGTTTAAAGGGGCGCAATATTTTAGAGAATCAATATGTAAAGGTAAAGTCATTAAAATTTCATAAATTCATTATACTTTTTGCCCTGGTGTAGACAATACAATATGTATGATAAGGGACAGAAAAAAATCTTTTTCTTATTATACATATTCTATTTTGTATTACATATATACTTCAGCTGAAAAAACTTTGCATATACTTAAATGTGACATAAACATTAAACATGGGTTAATTATTTGATTGGAGGTATCCCTTGTCTTAAAGCATCAAACAACAAATTTTATATAAATATTTATTAAATAATTGAACATATATATGCTATGTGATTAATTCAATGACTATTTATACTTTATATATAACCAAGTACTTCTTGTGGAAGTATTAGACATCCAATTTTCATTTGGTGAGTGAAGTACTACTTTTGAAAAGGTTGGCAAGATAACTGCAACCCTTTAAGTGCAGACCGTTTTAATAACTTAAGACCAGGCGAACAGCTTGCTGACTCCTTGCTGCTAACTTTTCACATATGTAATATATGTAATATATTTTCAAAATTAATTTTTCAATTTGTATTTACTGGGGATATACAACCAAAATCATTTTCTTAGCTGCAGTTATCAATGTTTTAACTATTTTTAATAGTTTTCATCATAATAATGAAGATGATAATTCCTCAATTGGCACTCTGTCTTTACTAACTTAATACTTAATTAAAAAAAAATTAAAGTATTTTATTAAGGCTAAATATTAATGCCTTATAACTTACAGATGGGTGCATATCATACTTTAGATTTGGAACAAAATAGAAAGGTCATTTTACAAAAAATCCTTTGGGATTCAGTAGCACTTGATAGAGTTGAAACAGCTTGTGATCCAGCCGCTTCGGCTGATGTGGCTGCTGTGGTTATGCAGGAGGGCTTAGCTCATGTATGTCTCATTACACCTTCTATGACATTAGTGAGATCTAAAATAGATATGACTATACCGAGGAAGCGAAAAGGATTTGTTCAACAACATGAAAAGGTAAGTTTAATGTCCAAACTTAAACACTGAATGGTGGTTCAACAATACCTGTAAGGTATATACCTGAAGGTCATATATATTGCATTTTTTTTCTCAATGGTTTAAGAACTCCTGTGTTGTTTATTATATTATTTACAAAAAGTTACTGCACACTATGTAAATTCTTACTCTATAAAATTTATCAAAAGATATGATTTCAAAATAATAAAACTTTTAGGGTCTCACCAAGTTTTATGATGCTGTAATGCAAGGTATATTACGACACATAGACTTTAACATAGTGAAATGTGTTATTATTGCTTCCCCTGGTTTTGTCAAAGATCAGTTCTTTGACTATATGATGCAACAAGCAATCAAGACAGACAACAAACTTCTTATGGATAATAAAGGAAAGTTTTTGCTGGTAAAAGCTTCATCAGGATTTAAACATTCTTTGAAAGGTAATGTTATTCTTTCTCCTTGTTTGTTTTAATCCATTTTTATGGCGTACAAACCTACTGCCAATTTTCTCTTAGTGAGATTTAAGCAATATTAACGATATAAAATTGCTTAACAGAGGTTCTTCAAGAACAATCAGTAATGGCTAAGATATCAGACACAAAGGCTGCTAGTGAGGTGAAGCTGTTAGAAAGTTTTTATACAATGTTGCAACTGGAACCAGCTAAAGCTTTTTATGGGAAGAAACATGTTGAGAGGGCAAATGAAGCACTTGCAATAGAAACTCTAATGATTTCCGATAAATTATTCAGGTGATAATTTTTTTTATAATCAATCAGCCTGATTTTGGTTGTATATCATTATACACAATGGCTTTTCCATATTTTTTTTAATATGTAAAAAATACAATAATTCAGGGATGCCCAACAGCTCTAACTAATAATCACGGCTAGGTCCAGTCAATTGTGGCAAGGTAGGGCTTTGCATGTGCTCACATGCATGCATTATCTTAAATGGGAGATGTGTCACCTAGTCGCCATCTAGGTTCAGTACGGAATGTGGCTCCAAATTAATTGGTGGCTGGGGGAGGTGGTCAGAATCACCCTGAAACGTAGATGTACACTTTGCGTACTCGTTGTGTTGGTTTGGCAGTGCTTTTTTTTTTAATGGAAAAGGATGCTAACAAGTACCTGATTTTAAGTGATCATCGCCGCCCATGAAATTTTGTAACATCGGAGGACGAATTAATTGGTTATGTGTGTTAGCACTAGGGGTTAGGTACAGTGTTGTTTAGCGGTACACTCAATGGGCCCTAACTTATGTCACCTTCCGCGGAGAGTCTAAGGGAGGCCACATCCGGAAAACAACTTTCCTCTGAAAGTGAGCCCCCAAGCAGCAGGCATGGCGATGTCTGCCGACCAATACGGGGTGCGTGAGGGGTGCTGTGCTAATAACACCAGCAAAGCACCATAATTATGGCCGGGCCACCTGTTTTAGCACCACGTAGACTTGAGAAGGCTATAGTTGCGCCGTGATGGCGGAAGATTGCGTCGTCGTATTTCCGAGTCCGTGGCAGATACAGAGGCAGGTGCAGGTGGGTTTTTTAGTGGGTACCTGTACAGTTTTGACCGGGTCTCCCACAACATACCCCTGCCCGTCTGTTGCATTGGCATCATTGAAATTGACTTGTGTACCTTTTGGAGTGTCGCTTGTGTATAGTGCGTAAAGGCGTCAAGGGGATGAGGTTCATACATTGGTTTTATTAATATTGCAATTTCCTACTATAACAACTTACCTTCCTAATCTAGCGGAAGATGCTCACACATGACACATAAATAAGTACTACTGGATCATAATGAATTAATTTAAATTTTCAAGAATTATGTAATTGGTAGATCACATAGTTTTATCAATGCACAATATATCTTGGGCCTTATCAAGTTGGCCACCCCTGCAATAGTTTATATTTCATTATTAGCATTAAATTGAGTAATCCATATGTACCTATACATTCTTATGATATGAAATAATAAAACTTAAAAAAGTTTATTGATATAATATTTACAAGATTTAATCTCAATTATCTTAATGAAATAAATTATAACATTAAAACAAAAAATTATAATATACAAGGTTTTTGCTTTGTATCAATTTATACCGCTTCATGGATTCTTCAATTCGTCTTTTGATTCCTATGAATGTCCCTCTTTTATTTTAAAGAATTCTTGTTACATAGTAATATTTTGGTTTTTTTTTTTTATTTAAATTCAGGTGTCAAGATGTTGCGAAGCGAAAGGAATATGTAGCACTTGTAGATTCGGCGAGAGAAAATGGTTGCGATGTAAGAATATTTTCAAGTATGCATGTCTCTGGTGAACGTAAGTAATATATGTTTTCGTAAATATCAGTAATGGACCTTCATGTCTCTTGCAATGATTATCCATTTAACACTTCTCGTGTCATTGTTTATTATGTGAATATACCAACATATTTCTTCTCGAAATAAAGAATTAATCGAAGTGATTTAAATAAATAAATGATTATTACGTGTAAAACATATCATGGCCACATAAATTGATTAAAACACTAGGATTTAAAAAATACCTTTATCATTTAGACGGCACTGTTTTCTTATCAATCAATTAAAACGCAAAAAAGTGTCTTGGATGAATTTATACCTGAATATTCCGAAACAGTTGGTGTATTTTGGGTAGGGTTTTTGCCTGAGTAAAACACTTCCACACAAACGCGCCTTTCGATAAGCGCTTCATTGGTAGAAAGATCTTTGCGTACGTATACAGGTTGATTACCCAAAGGCCTGGCAACGGTTATAGAAAGAACCGGTTAAATATGACCTAAATCGACACAATTGAACACCAATGCGTAGTAAAACATTTGTACGTGGTAAATTTTAAATCTTAGATTTTTTTTAAACCCCTAAAATTCTTTTATTTTTATCAGAATTGGATCAACTAACCGGCATAGCAGCTATCTTGCGCTTTCCGATGCCTGAGCTTGAAGATAGCGATACCGAAGGGGACAGCGATACAGAGTCGGATTAATATTTTCCGCTAATTATTATTAGTAAAATTTTTATCTGTTATGTAATATACCTGTAACTTGATTATTATTAGCAAAAGAAATGTTTAGCTGTTATTCAATATACTAACTCTAATATGAGCTGTTTGTATATTTTTGTGTTATTACATATTATAAATGCTCTAAGAAAAATATACATATATATGACTTGTTATCATTTTAATGTTAAAATTAAAACAGACATTTAGCTAAATAAAGTATTGTACATGACTGCAGAATGTTTAGTTTTTTTAAATATTTCTGATATAAATAATATAATTTACCATATAGTTATCGTATTTTTCTCTCAAAACGAAATAATAATGAGTGGTGAAGTATTAGAATATAATCCATTTTTAGTACTTTGTTAATATGCATCTCTATTCTTTGGCTCAAAATGCTATTAATTAGTCACGTCTTTGAGATTTTAAATTTTAATTCATTTTCATTACTCAAAGTTTTTGGTTATTCAAATGGTCTTATTATTTTGGAGTTTTCGTATGTCAGGCCACAGGTTCTGTAAAAATTGGTACTGAGAGCCGTCTCGGAACAAGATGTGGATTCTCGGTACTTAAACTATGTAAATTATGCATAGCTTGATTGCTGAGAATATTAAATGGTTTTCTTTCGTTATTCCATAAAATTTAAGCCTTAAATTGTTGCCTTTATTCCTGTATACACCTAGGCTGATATGTATCTTGAATTAGAAGCATTAATTTGCTAAGTATCCCCAAAAAGCATTTAACACTTGAGTAAAGGTGATAACTTAAAATTGACTAAGAATGGGTTTAAAGTAAACAGTGGAATGTTGGAATTTTGATTATTTGCGCCAAGTTTTAAAATAATTTGCCATTAGGATCAAAATTAGGTCAAATAATTCAGATAGTCTCAAGAAAACTCGACGTAAAATAATTTAAATGGCTATATATGCGGTTATTTAAGTATTACGAGTTCTTAATTTATTTAATAAATACTATACGAGAGGCATGAGATATACCTGCAACATTCTATACCCGGCCTCAAAGGTACAGGTATCGCCATATACCCGGTGCTAAAACCCAGTATCAAAATACCTATAGGTATTAGTTATGTTCAGGCCTACTTTTAGAGACCCGGTATGGAATTGGACCTTTCTTTGGTTGGAATTGGAACATTTAGATGTTTTTTTAGCAATCAGTTTTTTTGAAGTGAAACTTCTTTATCGGGGTTGGAAAAAAATTTAGTGTAACATTTTTCCGTTACGCGCGCCATCTTTTTTTTATCTTAAAATGTTCCTCTAACGCCATCTAGCGTTGAATAGGGGGTTTTATGTCGTCTTTATTCTTTAGTGGTTTTAATAGTTGACGCTAGATGGCGTTAGGTCCTCTGTGTGTTCATAGCAATATATATATATGTTATATTAAAGTGATCAGCAAAATCAAAGGGTTTATTTTAATTCTAATTCTAAAATGTAAACAATATATTTCGTATTTCAGTTACCATAAGCCATTAATAACACAAATATATAATAATGACATCAATGATAGTAATAATTCTATTACAATGAATGAAATTCAATAATAATCTTTGTAGTAATGACAGTGCTAGCTCTAATACTTCAGAGCACGACACTGTGTCGACTTCCTCTTCTCCAAAGGCAGGCACCGCCCACCGTGACCTGACTGCGCCTTCCACCGAAGACACAATCTGAAGCTGACCGATGATGCTCTTGGAAACCTCGATCGGCTCCTGGAACTTGCGGTTGCGACGTCGATCCAACGTCCGCAAGTTCTGTTTTCCAAAAAACTTCACTCACAACACTCGCGCGCGAGTCGAATGTCTGCCTTCTACTCACTGGCTGACTATTCGGCAACGAAGGACCATGTACAAATTCAAAGTGGTTGTATTTTGGGTCCGTGAGGTTTATTGAAATAAACAAGGTTCACGTTGCAAGTTTTTTAATCAACAATTTTTGCGGACCCTCATACTAATTACAACGGTCAAACCATACAAAGCTAAAATGAAATAATTGTAGGTGGGCGGTGCCTGCCTTTGGAGAAGAGGAAGTCGACACAGTGTCGTGCTCTGAAGTATTAGAGCTAGCACTGTCATTACTACAAAGATTATTATTGAATTTCATTCATTGTAATAGAATTATTACTATCATTGATGTCGTTATTATATATTTGTGTTATTAATGGCTTATGGTAACTGAAATACGAAATATATTGTTTACATTTTAGAACGAGAATTAAAATAAACCCTTTGATTTTGCTGATCACTTTAATATATATATATATATATATATATATTGCTATGAACACACAGAGGACCTAACGCCATCTAGCGTCAACTATTAAAACCACTAAAGAATAAAGACGCCATAAAACCCCCTATTCAACACTAGATGGCGTTAGAGGAACATTTTAAGATTAAAAAAAAAGATGGCGCGTAACGGAAAAATGTTATACTAAATTTTTTTCCAACCCCGATAAAGAAGTTTCACTTCAAAAAGAAATTCAAAATAAATATTACTGTTTAACCTTAATACGCTATTATTTATTTAACTTATGGTCATAGAAATAAAGAATAAATTTATCTCAAGGAATTATTTGGTATAAAATGCCTAAATCATACGTTTCAATTCGGGCATGATCGGGAAGAGCCGCCGTAAGCCTTCGGGGAACTTCGTACCTATTCGGCCGGCGGGTTGTCGCGAGCGTTATATACCGCCACCGTCGGACGAGGCGGCCATACCTATCGGGTATGGAACGGGCCTCTTCGGTACATACCCGGTGTGCGTACTGGTATGTTCATACTGGGTATTTATACCTGTTCCAGTATATACGCCCTACTATACGAGCAAACACTCTCACATACACACACCCTCGCACAGAAGCGCCACACTCACGCACTCTCTTAAACGTAACAATAAAATATGTAAAATAAATATAATAAAAAAAATTTAAATATATAAAATATGTAATAAATATAAGAATATTTGCCTTATTTATTTCTTCGAAGTTCGTACCGACCAATAGAAACTTTATTCTCGGCTCTATAACAACAGGGCCAGGGGAAACTGAAAATCAGCGGCCCATAGATAAGACATATATATATACTGAAAGCAGCGGCCTTATGCCGTCTGTTGTAGCATAAGCTGAGTTTCCACCTATTGCCAAGCAGCTTTTCTTTTTTTTTAAATCCCAAGTAATTTTAATATTTTTGTAAAATTTTTGTTCTTTATATAATATTGTTAATATTCTTTTTAAATTCTCTTTTTTTTGTTTAATCCTTGAATTTATTGTACAATCTATGATTTCTTGGCAATAAACGATTATCATTATTATTTGAATTGCAACATTGTGTCTAAGGTGGCATTTACTGAAGTTATCGACGAATTTTTTTTTTAAATTTAATAAATGTTTTCCGATTGTTACTATTATAGGCTCTAAACTAGTGTTTCTGTAGTATTAATTTACTCTATGACTAGTCTAAACTGAAGTATCCTTTTATATTGAAAGAGAACCGCCCTTAAACGCGAGTTACCACTACAAATCACTAGTTACAGTAAAAGGCCACATGCAGAATGAGTCAAAGAGAATATAACCACTATGTTTATGTGTATGGAATGTGTACTTGGAATGTTTCAAGGTTGTTGAATATGGCTGGTCAATGAGTTCTGCATTAAACAAACCTTTATAGTATATAGACTGAAGAGAAAATCAAACATAGATGTAGATATATTTAGCAAATAAAAAAGAAAATGAAATAAAAAAGTTTATTGCAAAATAAGCAATTTAATTTAAAGCAGTTTCAAGTGCTTGTTTCTTCTGTTTACGCTTCTCTGCTTTCTTTTCTTCTTTCACTTTTTCGTCATGAAGACGTCTCTTCTTTCTCAACAGCCATATTTCCTTTTTCCTCTTCTCTTGACCTGCCTTCATACTCTTGTAAAGATTTCTATGCTTTTTGCGTACTAGTTTTTCTCTTAGTCTAAATGCTTGTTTGTCTTCTATTTCTTTTTTATATGGATGTTCTTTATGTGGAACACCACTTGTAACTGCCATGGCCTTTTTCTGTGAAAATCGTTAAATGTTGTCAGTATTGGCATATGCAGATAATATTTATATAAATTTATGTTCTAAGTAATTTTTTTTTCGTTTAAAAACATTACCCTTACTTTAGAATAACATTATCCTGTCCAGTGTTCTAAGGACATTTTACAAACATAAATTTAATGCAGACAAACACCCAGATGCTAAACAACTATCTGTGGGCCATACAAATAGTTCTCCTGTGTGGGAATCGAACCCACGACCCCCAACGCTGAAGCCCAATACCTTGACAACTGCGCCAAGGAGTCATCATAATTTGGAACTTAAACTTTATAACAACTATTTTAAATTGTAATTTTAAGTTTTCATGATCCTCACACTTTTTCTCACCTTCTACTAGGTGTAGCTTATTATAAATTTATTATATATAATAGAACTATATTTAAAACCATACCTTCTCTCTAGCAAGTTTCTTTTTTTCAGGATCTAAGCTGTTTTCATCATCTTCTTCATCTTCTGAGGGTGAATCTTCTGCTTTCTCTTGTTGGTATTGTCGAGCTAGTGCTGTTTCACCATCTTCTTCAGAATCATTCTCACTTTTCTCTTCCACATCTTCATCACTGGCTTCTTCAATTTCACTTCCAGATGGGTCATCATTATCTGAAAAGTATGCAGTTATGGTTAAATCGACTTACTGTCTATGAAATTGACCTGGGGTTTTCAATGTTATCTGAAAACAAACATTAAAATCCTTGTAGCTGTAGCTGTAAAGAATTATCTATTATTTATTAGAAAGTTAATAATATTATGTAGAAGTAAGATTTTTTTGGCCAATGACTGTTAATATAATTTATGGAACATTAGTTATAAATATAATTTACCTAGTGGTTTAAAGTCAGGATCCTTCAATGCTCTTTCTTCTGGTGGCATGTACACTTGGTCTTTAATCTTGTCCACAAATGGTGATAGGTGAGGGGGCAAAACGGCTCCCATTAAGTATTTATTAATTGGAAGCAGTGTTCGTGTATTTACACTGTCAAAAACCCATTGAGGCTGCACATAGTATCTTGAAAGATATTGTTTATCCATACTTGGTCTATCTACAATCTGGTAAGCTATAGATTCGTCACTCTCATCAAATGTGGCTCCTACAAAGTGGTTCCTGTCCCAAGAGACCTCACCACCAAAACATCTTATAATAAAAACCAATGGCTCTCTTGGAACCTCTCTGTTTATAAAGAATTTTAAACCTTTGAACATAGTCTTCAATTTTTTTACTTTTTCTGCTTCTTGTTTCGCCTCTTCTAATTTAAGGGGATCGCCATCTTCAATTTCAAAAATATCAATCTCAGGTAATTCTTCAGCATCATTCGAACCCACAACTTTTGCTAAAGAAATATTAAGAGCAGCAATTCTTTCGGCAACATATGCATGTTCATCTACAAGGTCTTTTTCAGTATCTGCTGAGAATCCTGGGCTTAATTGGGGTGGATAAACCAAATTTAGAGAGTGAAAAAGTTTGTAGTTTACAAAACCAAGCATCATTGTGTAGAATTCTACAAATGTTGACATAATCTTGAAATCAACTTCATCTTTGCTATGTGGCTGAAATTAATAAAAAAGTTAAAGTATTAATACCCATATTTATATTTACCAACATTCAATACCATCAATATTAAAAATATACCTGAAAAGAAAAGTGATGTGGAACAATCCATGTTATAGTTTGTCCTTCAAATTCAGCTTGATAGTAGTATCCTTTTATTGAGACAAAAACTTTGCGTAAGGCTTTAGCAGCTATTACCGCATGCATGAATTCTACCGTGAGTCTCCTACAGAGTAAAGACTGATTTCGGGGAACTTTTTTTAAGGAAGGGAAGGTACTGAAGAGAAAGCATAAAGTGAGGCAATCATCAAGATCCCGTAGTGCATCAACAAATGTCGGATATCTTTCCTTAACAATGTGATCTATGTTGATGGATGGGTAGTCCCTTAAATATTTTCTCATCCGCCCAAATTCTCTTGTAGCTCTAGCTCGGCGAATTTTTTGTTGATAGACCTATGAAAAATTATAATTTCACAAGAACATAATTTTTTTCAACAATAACATTATTTATCAAACTAAATCTTGCTAGTAATTATTACATTTTGTGCTTGACGACAAGTATAAAACAAATAATTGCACAACAACTGGCAATTTTAAAAAAAAATAATTTTGATTTATTTAATTAAATATTACATATAATTTCATAACAAATAAATTAGATGTTCAATCTTACATTAACATAATATTATTTTATTCTTTTTAAAATCATTAAACTTAATAGCACAAAAGTGTGATAAAAATGTTCTTTAAAAAAATACAATTTTTTTATTCAGGATTTCAGGTTCAAATATGAAAGATAAGAATTTGCTTGATTCGCTACGCAAATACATACCTTCAAATCTCGTAACTTCCATATTATCGGTTCATGTAGCAAAAATTTTATGTCTTTTGTGTGATACAAAGTTTTAATACCACCAGCACCTTTTTGAGCTCTCTTACGATTACGTGGCTCTCTGGGATAAATACCCTTTAATATACAAATTCGTCTAAAATCTTTTAGGGAAAGTTGTAGTTTTTTTAAAGCAGCTTTCCTCGTCATAAACTGTGCTCCTTCTCCAGTTGAATACTGTAATTATAAATGTTTATTATATTTGCATCAAATTTATTTGTGATACATGTTTAATTGAAACTAATAACATTTATGATTGAGGGTTTGCATAAGGCTTAAAAACAACACGTGTTATGGGGTTATTACATACCTTCTTTTTTTTCTTTGAAACCATTTTTAACGTTTTTATAACCAGAAGGGAAAATCAAGAGACAATTATGAAAATAATAACGATGGAACACAAATAAAATATAATATATTATCTAATTGCGCCGAAAAGAAGCATGACAAAATTGACAATATAAGATAAGATAGGGATGCCGAAAAAACATCGATAAATCGGTATTTTTAAAAAAATATGTCGATATTTTTGGCCGATATCATTTGATCCGATATATCGATATAAAAAATTGAATATCTTAGGAGATAAAATTTAGAGCTAAAGAAACTGATTTATCTTACTAAATAAACTGTTTATATTTTTTTCAACGAAGGTCAAAATTTATCAATAATATACGTAGAAATTTAGATTAATAAAGAAATTAGATTAAAGTTTGATTTATTTAAAAGTGTGAATAAATAATTAACGTTTTATTAAAATTTCTCATTCATTAAAATAATGTGAATTGGGTATAAAAATTACTGAACTTAATACATTATTTTATTTAAAATCGAAAATTTGAAAGAAATATCGATATATCTATTTCTTTTTTCGATATATCGAGGCGGATATTGATATTTTTATAAATATCGATATATCGATATTTTTTTCGATTTCGGCAGTAAAGTAAAGTAACAGCCTATACATGTCCCACTGCTGGGCAAAGGCCTACTCTATGCAGAGGGTATCAGGGCATAGTCCACCACGCGGCCCCACTGCGGATTGGCGGACTTCACATATCTTCTTTACAATAGGAGTGGCATCTCTTCTTGAATGTCCCTAACTCATATTTGTCCGGAAATACCTGTAGCGAAAAGTGGTGCCAACCATCAAGGTGTTATCAATGTGTTATCAAAACTATTTGAACGACGTTGAAACTCGGCAGAAGGTATTATTACGAACAATTACTCAGAGCATTCTCCTTGATATATTAAGTAATACAAAGAGATGTGAATCTCTTCGCAGGTCTAAAGAGTCGAGGTGATCAGAGAGACTTACTTGGTTATTGCCTGATTACATCACGGGATGATTATCGGTTTATAACCCTTGTCATCAAGTATTGAGTTAAAACCTAAAAGAGTTGGCATAAGTTTTGTTTTCTTTTTAACAGTGAGAGCCAACGAGTGATCTCCCCCGTTCAGGGAAGAGATAACCTACAACAACTTCCCTTGATAAATCTTGATGTGTAACCAGAATGTACGAGTTACCGAAGGAATGTAAACGAATGTAGCACTGATCTGTTTAATGCGATGTTTTGTTTGAAGGAACTAGAAAATTGCACTCCTTTTTAAAATAACTTGTAGTTACATACATAGACGCCACCCCAACGGTCCATGCGACCTAACTCTTCTAACACCTTGCAGGTGCGACCAAACCTGCTAGGATGTGTCTCCAAGAGAGGGAACCATAGACAATGGTATAAAAAGCGTTTCACATCAGTGTCAAAGTCAGCCACGGCGTTATTCATTCAATAAGCAGCAATAACATAGGACTTATACATTGCTAACTTAGTTGAGGTAGGCAGGAACCCTCGCACTGTGGTGTGCAGTGCACCTTGTTCCGTGATTAGCTTTCGATTCGTAGGCTGCCATTCTTTGCTTTGCCCGCATAGTTTCCATTGTGGTGCAGACGCAGAGGAGTGAGCGGTCCCGAAGGTCGTCTTAGGACCTTTAACGCTCTTGTCTACGTTTAAACTAATCCGCCAATTATCTAATCGCTCCGGAAACTTCTGCATCCTACGTATTGTAATTTCGAGCCAACGAGATGACATAAAGTACGCGGTATCATCGGCGTACAGAGCTGTGTTGTGAAAGTGACCTTTCTTCCTCCGTAACGAAATTGACCTTACAGAGTATTCTATTAATTCTTCTAATTAGGCTTTATAGGAGGCGAAATTGGTACACCAGGTCATTGTGCTTGCCTCTATTTGATTCTGGTAAATTTCGAGCTATTCAAACAACACGACCATCGCTGCGTCTTTTAACATGGCAATACAATCTTAGACGATTTTGTCATTTTGTCTGTGATTTTGTGACTTTGAATCTACCAATATACATGGTAGATTCAAAGTCACAGATATGTTCATCATAGAGTTTGTCAAACCGGATCAAACCACAAAATTGTGATTAATTGATGTATTTCAATATGTTTATATTTCTTTTGTCATTATGTTATAATAATGTATTATAATATATTATATTTTCATTATTATACAGTGTGTCGTTACAATCACGACACTAAATGAACACACGTCTAACGCTACTTGCCAATAATCATAAAAAATATAAACATTAAAAAAATCCATAATTTAAAAAAATATTTTTCAAACAAACTAATTAAATAAAAAAGAAACAAAATGGGTACCATCCTATACAACTACAACTGACTGATTCATACATTCAGAGACTTTTTCATTCGTTGCCACAGCGTCGCATTATAAATCTCTCCTTCTAACAGTATGTATCTCTTTTAAATTCGTTCAACCCATTCATATGCTTTTGCTTTGTGACCTTTACAAATGAATTCTAAAATTGTGTGTTTTGGAATATTTAATAACTCGGTAAATTTTGATGTTTAAATAATGTAAATGTTTAATACAATTTTAAAAAGTTATTCCCTATATGTGTGTTCATTTATTGTCGCGGTTGTAAAGACACGCTGTATACTAAATAAAAATGTAATTGGTCATTGTGTCCATGAACACACAACTTTATTATTTTTATTTTTAATTATAACACTAATTGGGGGCCTTTATCAGTTGATAAAGGCCCCCAATACTGAGTTCAGTAGAATTCATAAACCTGTGCATTTGTGTTTGAATGAGGCCTTGTTCGGGGCCTTACGTATGGCATCATATTAGTAGTACCAATAATATAATAAATAATATTAAGTAAATATCATATAAGTAGTGCACTGTAAACAGTGAGAGTTCCGAAGAAAATAGTATTAGCAGGAGGAAAAGTAATCTTAAGGTTAGGTGAAGAATGGATCACTTCTACTGTTTAGCGATAGGTATTTAAATAAATTTAATTAGGTATTTAAATAACTTAAAATCATCATTCGTTTTTATTATTTAAACATATTTTAATTACTTTTATGTTAATTGACAATAAATAACTTAAGTTTTAAATATTATTTATGAAATAAATAAAGAGTCATAGTTGCTTCTATTCTGCTTCCTTTTCCGTAGCGATTTTTCCGGACGTCCTAGTTGAACTCGGAGCCCAGGCTGAGGGATCTACCATAACATACTGGTATGGATAGGCGTAGGCAGCTGGCCAACCAAATGGTGGTGGCTGTAAAACTTTTGGACTGCTATCTTCTTCACTTTCTTTCATTGCATGCATAGCGGCTGATAGAGCTGTCATCATGTGTGGATAGTAGTAAGGGTACGGGTATGTGTGAAGCCCCGGAGGTGATGCTGGTGAGCTCTCTGATCGACATTGCGGACTTTCATCAGAGTTTTGAACGTTCGGTGCATAAAACCCGTACGGGTATGGATGCATTGGGCCTCCGTCGGCTGTTCCTGAGACGGGTAAGGCATAAGCATATTTCATGGAAGGACTTGTGATCACCGCTCTTTTGTGAGTGGTCACTGTTTCCTCATGCGGTGATGTGCTGCTTGTTATACTCGACGTGTATGTGACGGGAATAGATGCTGCTTGAGTTTGAGTCGCCGCAGCTGATGGTAAAAAGTTCACGGGATGATCTGTCAGCCATTGCGAGTGAACGCCGTCGTCTTCCGTAGCCGCCACGTATAGGTCACCGGTAACGCCATCTTCCGACGGCTTAACGAACAGCCCGTGAACTGGATTAAGTTGTTTCTGAAAAACTATATTAGCGGTGTGGCATGTCGTAAAATAAAACGTAAGTGAAATTACCACAATTACTTTCATCGTAAGCAATATAATTACGAACACTCGTTATCTCTCACACTCGTGCATGAGAGTAGTTCTGTTCCCTTGGATGGGACGCCACTGGTTTGCAACTGAGTTAATAATTGACCTTCGTTGGCAACTTGTAAATATATAGTAATTGTAATAATGGTTGAGATAAGAAATGTATTCCGTATCATGCTTTAAAGATAGATCTGATAATCATCGAGCACGTACAATTAAGAAATTGTCTGATTCGGACATGGAGTGGATAAGGTATTATCTAGATGTTTGCTTTATCGTAAAAATAAGACAATGTTGTCGCAATACGTAAGAAGTCGGTTAATGAAAACAGTAGACTAAATTTGAATATTATTATATAAATCGATTATATTACTCTAACAATACCTTCAGAATTTTTGAATATTTCATTGTAATGTGAAGTACAGAAATAATACAGAATTAGAAATATATATTAAATGGCATATAAATCATAAACTTTACTGAGAAATAATGTATAAAACTGAATATAAATGTTAATAAAAATATGATTTGGTAATATTATTATGTCAGTTTTGATGATGTTTACTTTATTGTGCAATTATCTTTTAAAAAAAATATTTTCTTTTAAGAAAATAATGAAAAACAAAGAGAACAATAAAATATAGGCAGGTTTTAGCTTTTATTCTTAAAAATAGATTTTGTAAATAAATTTCCATCAATATCCATTTTTAAATAAAATGTGCTTAAATAAATAAACAAATACAGCGTGTCGTTACCATCGCGACAATAAATGAACACACGTCTAACGCTATTTGCCAATAATCATAAAAAAATATTAACGTTAAACAAAATCCATAATTAAAAAAAAATATTTTTCAAACAAACTAATTAAGTAAAAAAGAAACAAAATTTGTACCATCCTATACAACTCGCGCCACAGCGTCGCATTACAAGCCTCTCTTTCTAACAGTATGTTTTGTCTTTTTTAAATTCATTCAACCCATTCATATGCTTTGTGACCTTTACAAATGAACTTTACGTTACAGTTTTATACATAAGGATGTTCTAAAATTCTTTGTTTTGGAAAATTTAATAACTCGGTAAATATTGATGTTAAAAGAATGTAAATGTTTAATACAATTTTAAAAAGTTATCCTCTATATGTGTGTTCATTTAAGGCCCATTTACACGGTGCCAGTTTCTTGCCTGTTGTATACAATTAAATTGAAACAATAAATGAGTTGCATGGTCTAAACAACAAATGGTCTTAACAATTATTGCGCGCAATTTATTGCATTCAATTATTGCTCTTGTATGTACAAGAAAATGGCATCGTGTAAATGGGCCTTTATTGTCGCGGTGGTAACGACACGCTGTATAATAAAATATGACTGTAAAATTTCCTAATCCGATTAACTATATTTTAGATTTTCATAACATGAGAAAATATCAAATAAAATGCACGTTGAATTTATTTTACGGCGACTTTATTTCGATCTGTTCATAATTCTTTCTTTATATTGTTTTCCTACCATAAAGATTTCTGCCGGTTATAAGACTTCTGCGTGTGTACGTGATAACGAGGAGTTCTCCCTTTGCGGTTGGAGATGTCCAGCGACTTGTGTAAATATTATGCTATTGCCTCTCCAGAAGTCGCTCTGCCCTTTGGTGTGGGAGTGCAGGGTTGGCTGCCGATGCTCGGCGGGATACATACGAGATGAGTACAGCAAGAACTGCGTTTTGGTCCACCAATGTCCAGGTTAGCATCGCGTAAACGATTTCAGAAACAAATTTCCAAATTAGAACAGAGGTTTCAATCTCAATCCTTAATTCTAGTAGTTTCAGTGAAAAAGTAATTATTAAGTTAATAATGTTTTTGAACTATATGCGTTTGTTAAATTAAATTATTTTTATGGATTGGTGTTTTAAATTTTAATTCATGAATGACGTTTAGAATTAATGTCACGGTAACTGTGAATCTGTAAACATATGTTATCCGTAAACATAGTTACATTTAGCTAATATACTTTTTTTTTTGTTATTCCATTTTTTTGTGTGCTTTGCACTTACTCGCGTTGATTTCAGAAATGGTTTACGTGAATTACTTTTCCTGTTAGTGCAACTGATATTTTCGAAGTAATCGCGTTGACAGTGTGTGTAATTAAAGGAAGGGATAATAATAGAGTGCTTTTACACAGAAACACTATATTTCATCAATGATATATTATAGTGTTTTTTGTCGGTACGCCATATCTCCCCTTATTCTTTAGCAAAATTGATAATTGATGAATTGAGCCATCGTTTCGAAGAATATTCGAATGTTCCCGATAATGATAAAAATTACTCAAGGAATATGCACCGTAAAATGAATGTTTTTGGTCAAAAGGCAGTAAAGATTTTAGAAATCAGACATCTACTAAACGTCCTGTTTTACGGCATCATGCGGGAAAAGTATATTATTATAGTTGTTAAAGAACTTTGATAAAAATCACACTTAACAAATATGTAATATTAATATTTTATATATTTATTTTGATATGCTATGCAATATTTCTATTTCCAAACTAATATTTTTCACTAGACCGATATTGATATAGATATAGATATTGATGACTAGCTGACCTGGCAAACGTTGTTTTGCCATATAAATTATTTCTAGGGAATTTGTGAATTTGAACACCTAGAAAAATAAATTTTCGGAACATAAAATGTTTGACAGGTAGGAACAGTTTCTATGGGAAAATAAAATTGATGCCAGTTCGACTTTCCATGTTATTTTTCCATAATTTCTTATCGTTTAATATATTCTAATAATAAACAAATATTTCAAAACCTTAATTAGCCAAGTCGGTCCAGCCGTTCTCGAGTTTTAGCGAGACTAACGAACAGCAATTAATTTATATATATATATATATATATATATATATATATATATATATATATATATACATATATTATTTCAATCTGTTTATTTTCACGTAGGTAATAGAAGCATTCGTGATTTGACGGATTACGTTAATATGCGCTGAATTCCCAAGGGGCTGGGGAACAGTAATGCTTTGGAGAACGTCGCTGCACACTAGCAGCCCGCTTATTTATCTATATCAGCAAAAAAAGTTTATTTCACGATCGGAAAAGCATGTTCGTCGGTTACGAAATTATGACTGCGGTTTAAATCTCTACATCCCCGACTGTACTATTTTTTTTGTGAACCATGTTAATGATACTTTCATAGGGTTTATACCGTTATTTAACTTTAATAATATAAATTTCAATTCAAATTCAAATTTATTCAAATTCAAATATCCTTATTCAATATAGAAGTGTTATACTTACTTATTGATTGTCAAAAACACTACGATCAATTCATTTCCAGAGTGTATTATCATTCAAATAATTACTAATAGCCTTTAACATACAAATGTACCTTTATAAGTATTTTGAATTTAGTAACGTTTTCGGGGATTTTGTAGTAAAAGCGTATACATTTCCCATAAAAGATTTACTTATTCTACGCAATCTAGGTGATGGGGGTAGAATTAATTTATGTTTGTTCCTAGTATTTATATCATGCACATTACTAAATCTTCGAAATTCAAATTCCTCAAATATCTTTTGACCATAAGAAATCTAGGTTTGTTAAAATTTTATTGTTTTAATTTTAATGTTTTAATCTCTATAAGTATCTATAATATTCCTTATTTTACTACGAGTGTAACCGTCCTTTGTTTTATTCATGAATGAACATAATTGGGGCGAGTCCTAGCATTGCATTAAATCTCACGATAAAAAATATACACACATATATATGTGTGTGCCATATTCGAATTGATGATATATATATATGTACATATACATATAAGAACATACGTTCTTTCGCCCGGATCGATGACAGAGTCTTGTGTGTTTTGATCACCTACATTGTTTTTTTAATTATTAATATTATATAGACACGATCTCTGAACCTTTGCAACTGAATATACTAAGAGCAACTCTATTCAACAGTAGTGCTTGAATGAAATTATTAAATTGATCATTATTAAAATATAGGTATATAAATTTCGTTTTACGAACAACGTTTTATATAAAATGTTGTACTTTGCTGTTCACCTTTAAACATAACACATTTGCACGTATGTAGGTGCCAAGAATTAGGCGTTAGCACAAAATACTCGGCCACGTGCTACTTAAGCATATGGTGTTAAATTGCAGTGTTATATGTTTTGCCGAAAATGCATTCGCTTTGACGACTGTATAAATATTAAAACGGCTTTGTTTAGAGTTGCATTAGTGGAATAAAGCGAAAATGACGGTTGTGCATGCTACGTGGGTGTTAACGATAGCGTATACCGCGTTGGGCATACCGATCAACAATGGACCTGTGAAAGAAGCACTGCCGGTAATGGATCAAGTGGATCTCCGGGATAAGCGCTCAGGCTACGGCGGTCTTCACGTCAGCCCTTGCGCCGCCGCCTCCTCGCCAGTGCCTTCATTTGCCCCTGCATCCGCCTACCAGTTCAACATGGCTCCGGCGCAGTACCACCGGCCGTATAACCCATACAACTACAACGCTCACCACTATAATAATTATCCGCATTACCGTACAGAGCACGACGAAAATGAACTGTTGAGCTTCTCCGACATGAATCACATAGGTTCGGACAACGTGCCTGTGGGCATCGAGGGGTTGAATCTGCCCTACAATTATCCAGGAGATCTCCGAACCGCGATACTGAACTCGCCTCTCGCTCCGGTACAAGGTCTACCGTCTTTTGGAGCATTCCCCTATAGCAATCCAAACGCTCTAAGTATGCCGTTCCTCTTCAGTTGTTCTCCTTCAATAGTGCCAGGCCAGATGGTGCATGCTCAGCCGCAATACTACACCGGATATCGCGTATCAGATGTCCCTGGGGAAGTCGATATACAGTCGCTGCTCGAGCCTCAAGAACATCAGCAATCGCCGCAACCAGAACGCCCAGTGGCTCCACAAAAAACTAACAACGTTGAAACAACAACCCAGTGAATACAAGTTTAAGGTGCATTTTCGTTTTTTAAAATTATTGTTAACATTGTATACTTTAGTTCCTCTGTTGTAAATATAAAAATAAAAATTGTATACATTAATTACTTGTACTTTAATTTTCATTGATTTGCTTTTATATCTTCTAGCGGTGATAACATTTAATCAACTGGCTGAATGAAACGAAAATGAAATAAAACAATAATGTCGAATGTTAATATGAATCTTATGTACCGATTTTTTTTAAATCTTGTTTCGATATACAGTTATTGTACAGTTTCCGGTATATCCAAATTATCTCAAGACGCCATTCTGCACTTTTGAAATATGTATATAATTTAAAAAATACAACTTTAAATGAGTGTGTTAATTATACATTTGTGAACCCTACTGATTCCCAACCAAAGCTAAAGCTATCTTACCTGTGAGGATTCTCTCGAATTTATAACATTGCTATATAATTATAAAGACTACCTATGAATTTTTAATTAATTAAAAAAAAATCAGATAACTTGTTTGTATCGCATCGATTTCGGACCTTAACACTATTCTAGATCAGTATTACGTAACATGGACAGCACTATCATTGGTCGTTCTACAGGTCGTTAAGAATACTAGGGCAGCTAGACTTCGGCTAAAGCACCTGAACTGAAGCAGAAGCTGCTGTGTTTTATTACAATAAACAAATAAAAAAATAAATGAAATACATCTAAAGATTTTGCTTTGAATACAATGAAAAGAAGGAAGACTGTAATCACTGAACACTGTGTCAGCTGTAATCCCACTTATAGTAAACTAATCGATTTTTAAACTATAAAAGAGTTGTATTAAAAAACCGAATGCAAAATGATTAAATAATGAAAATGCAATGGCAGGCATTATACGATAAAATATTACTATCATTACACGAGTGTTACACTTAGGTGAAATAGTCATAATACATTACTCACAGTACTTTCAAACAGTAACTAATTAAAAAATTCTAATAGAACTAGGTATATTCCGGTGCTGGCTAGTGCCATGAACACTAGGTGCACTGCCTAGCATATTGCTTGTGCTATGTGAACTATGAATGTATTACATTGTTCTATGCTTTGCGCGCGAAATGAGTGCGTCCTTACAGTCATAAGCCGTCAATAAGACGGGAATATCATTCTTTTGTACAAACTAAGGTCTTAAAAATCGCATAAATACATGGCATACACCAAGAAATTCGTCTTAATTACTTCAGCCGGCTCTGATTTTCACATTCCCGAAATTAATGTAAATAATTTGTGACAGAATTCCTGATTAACGAAAATAAAAGTATTTACAAATAATAGGGATTTCTAGTTTTTTCCAACAATTTTGTTTATATCAGAAAATTTTTAATGAAATTTTTGTGAAAAAGTGAAGCACTTTGGAAATAAGCAATGTAAGCATAATTTCGAGACATAATCCACAATGGAATGCGTTTGAAGACTCAAACATACGTGAGATCGAAAGGTTGTCCAATGCCATTCGGTTTTCTTACGTGCTGTTGTTATATTCTTGAACTTCCGTGTGTTAATTGCCTTTACATTATTCTTCATCGTCAAAAGTAATGGCAAATGAACCATTACTTTTAGGTAAATTAATTCTCCGAGCCGAGATTCCAATCTTTTTGTTAAGTGATGAAGTTTTTTTTAATATGACGCCGGTTTCTTATTACTTATCACGAATATCGTTTATACCCAGTTATTTGCTAAAAGAATAAAAAAGATTGTAAAAGGGCAAAGGAAAAAAATCTTTGAAATTGATTTTCGTCTTGACCTATTTTCATAACTTTACACTTGGCCGATGAATAATTTATCTTTCGCTGAAATCATTTTCGGTAAAACGTAGCTGATATCCATATTAGGCCAACGATTGTCCACTCACAACATTTGTATTTGCACGTGCGCACTATTCGGCGTACACAATGTTGAGTTTATTATTTTATGATGCAATATATTTATCCGTTTCGATACGTAACGGTGGTAACTTACGAACTTGTGTATTAATTTTTATTTAAAATTCGACGTTTCATAACAACGCGCAAGCGTCTATTTGAATAAAGATATTTTGAATTTTGATAAGCCTTACGCCCGCTTTCTGAAACACGGATCATCGTAGAAATTAACTAATCAATTCAGAGAGTTTAACCATCCTTTTGGCAACTTAAATGACTTTTAAAAAGCCATTTGACAGGAGATTAGTTCATTTCTACAATTATCAGTGTTTCAGAAATGGGGCGTAAATGTATATTAAGGATTTATTACGTGCAAAAATTAGTATATCGATTATTGCTGCAATATCGAAGTTTCTGAACAGCCCTCAGCGTGCCCACTCACGATTAAAATATAGCTCTTATTCACGTTCTGGCGAAGGTATGGAGACGCAGCTTGTTGATAAATATTAGTATCGCATAATACGATCGTCCATAATACGATCAAAATGCTTGCGTTTGTTTAGTTAAAGCGTAAATAAGTATGAACGTATATATATGTAATGTGCTTATTTCACTTATCGTTATGGCAACATAAACATACAATTGTTCTACATAATATAATATAGAGCATAAGTTTTGATCTTTGTAAGTTTCATTTCTGTGTTAATAGGTACTAAAAAGTGACTTAAGTTAAAACCATTTTCTCGTATGTTTTATAAATTTATTTAAAATCTCTGGTCGTATTATTGCTTTGCGTCGCTTAAATTGTATTTTCACTTCCATTTCACTCTATTATGAAACTTTCCGGATCAAATGTACTTTTCTTATTTTCTAAAAGTTTATCATATGGCAGTAGTAGTATTAATCTTCTATGGTATGTAAATTTCCTAGTCCTTTCGGAAGGGAATATGTGAAAAAAATGATTTATTAACGTGTATAATAAATTATTTATTTTAAGTTTTAAGAAGTTTAAAATTTGTAGAAAAAGTACGTAAAGATTGTCGCCGCTGTGGGAATCGAACCCACGTCTTCGGCATTCGCGGCCTGAAGACGTGGGTTCGATTTCTACAGCGGTGAGAATCTTTACGTACTTTTTCTACAAATTTTAATTTTCAATCTTAAGAGCAGAGAATTATAAAAAAATTAAATTTTTCAAGAAGGTTATAATAAAATCTCTAAAGTTATAATTGCATATTTCCTCATGATGTCATTTGTTACTGAAAATGTAAAAATTTATTACCTTAAGATAAACATTTTATTTTCATTTCCAAAAGTTTAAGTAATTACACGTTATTAACATTTGTTAATAACGTGTAATTAAGTGTGTTTATCCGTCGACATTCGTAGTGCCTTCTGCTGCTTCAAAACCCGTTGATGCACTAATCTGTTTAAATCTAGTGCCATGAAATATTTTTATATATGGACAACTAAGACTGGTACGATTTGATGGCGAACGTGACTATTTTAGGTTTTTACACTTCTGAATACAATGATATAAATAATATTTTTTGTTAAGTTTCATGTGTGAAATTCTCTTTATGAATTTTATATGAGAATATTTACTTGAGATCCCGTAATCCGAAACGTACTTTTTTTGATATAGAAGTCACGATTAATTGTGGACTAAGTGCGATTAAGTGCTATGCGTCATTTCTCGACGCGGAACTTTTCGATCTGTAATTTGCTCGCTAAGTCAAAATCGGCACGTCTTGCATCTTTCTTGTAATTAAAACTCACATTCTTTCCTTTGGATTATTTAGTATAAATGGCAGGCGTAGTTTCATTTCGACAACAAAAGCGTCTTCGAACACAATGAAGGCACTAGTATTTTTTATTTTATTTGCAGCCGCTTTTGCAAAGCCGGCAAATTTAGAGGAACATTTCAATGGATTTGAAACAATAGAAGATGTTGCAGATATCACGTTAGATACAAATATTCGCGAAAAGAAGACGCCTACGTTAAGTCAAATGAGAAACAATCACGCCCCAGAAACTTCCCATTTATTCAACGTTGGTTCAGATGGAATAACAACTACTGAAGAAAGGACACATTCAGGTATTAAAAAACCTATAATTATTAAGAAGAAAGTGGGCTACCGAGTATACCGTGATTCTGATGAAGAACAAGCGCAAGCTGATCCAAAGGAAAAGTGTCGAAAACAAGTTAAAGTAAAGCTATGTGAAGATGAAAGTGAATCGAATTCTCAAAAACAGGAGCAAGATTTATCATTTGATTCAAAGCCTGGACATATGTCTGAAAAAGAAATGAAACAAAGCATTCAATTGGCGAAAGAAGCAGTTGAACATTTACAAAGGGACTTACAAATAGTTGGAAGTGGTTCTGCGAACCAAGAACAACGTTTGACAACTAACTCAGATTCCGAATTACATAAGGATATTGAAGTAGCAAGACAAGTTCTTGAACATATACACAGCAATTTTGGAAATTTACAGTCTATGCGCTTACACGCTGCTACATTAAACAATGAAGATCTGAACAACATTGAATTTGAAAGAAAGCGTATGGCTCAATGGAAAGAAATAACGGGGCAGGAAAATGTTAACACCTTAAGGAATATTGAAGATAGATTTAAAACTAATAATCACAACAGCGAAGATATTGAAGTTGAAAAAATGTTTGATAAAGTTATTGAAAAGGATGACTCAAAAACAAATTCAGCCAAAGTAGCAATTGAAAATGATTCATCACTAAGTGATGATAAAAATTTTAAGGGAAATTTTGAAAATAAAAAATTGAAAAATGTAGATATACCGGCAAATACGGACTTAGAAACATCTATGGCCCAAGATATTCAATCTAAGATGAAGTTACATAGCGATAATTTAACAATACAACCAGTTGCGGTCACGTCTCCAATAGAAGAGAAATCTAATCAAGATAGTTTAGACAGAAATACGAATCAAAAAGAAACTACTAATGTGGAGTTGAATGAAAAAGAAATATCAAATCGTGATTCAATTGCCATGAAAGAAGCTGACAATATCTTAAATCAATTCAGAAAAAATAAAGATTCAGATGGTCAAAAAGAAATAGAAACAAGAATATCAAATACAGTGAATATTTTGAATGAATCTAAAAATGATCAAATGACGCGTTCAGATTCGATAGAAGACCCAAATAAAACAACTAGAAAAAGTGACGAAAACATTCAATTACAACACGAAGATCGATCTTTTGATGGTTCAACCATGCATGAAGATATGAATAAGCAACGTTTTAGCGAACCATTAAATAAAAATATAGCTAGTGAAGATTTTGAGCAAAACACATTAAATACATTTAATGATTTTCCTGATCATAGAAGAACTCATGAAACTGGTAAACATCAGATGAATGGGCTCCTAAATATAGCTCGAGCACATGATAAGAGCACGGATATGGTGATTCCATCTATGCAAAAACAAGATATTAAACAAGATGTATTGCGATTGGGTTTCAATTCACGAAATAATATGGCAATCGACAAAGAATCAAGTGCTTTAGACTTATCATCACATAAAACCGATGACCAAAGTCATGCTGCGAGCGAAAAAATGAATATGCGTTGGGTACATGAAACTAATGATCAGAATTTTCAGACAATGAGAAAAGATGATTCAGCAAAACATGCTCTTTCGGTGAAAGCACCTTTCCAGGAACAATTTAATGAGCAATCGTTGAGAAATTCCCACTCTAATCATCGTTCAATAAACGGAGCAGCAACTGACACCGAACATCAGGAACATCAAGTGCCGAATGATCGTCTCGCCCATGCATTCGATAAAGAACCAAGGTTAAGAGCTGAAGAAATGAAGGCTGATAGTAATACTCACTCTCATCACGTTAGCCGTCAAAATGTTCATCCATCATCTGACATGGCTCCTCGACATGGTACGTTCCATCAAACATCCCATGCGGATAACGCAGTACAATCAAGTAATCATATGGACACTATGCACAGATCAGCCTCTGAATATGCTCAACAATGGTTTGACAGCCGTGGACTTTCGAGGGGATCAAGTTATATGCGACAGCAGCCGAACATGCCATTAGCCTCAAATGGCGGCTCTGGTGCTGTAGGGTTATTCCCCAACGCAAACACAGGAGGCTGCGCAATTCCATTACTCCTAAGTTGTTCACCGTCGGTTGTGTCTGGCACCTTAGCCAAAAGCCACCCGTCTTACAGTGCTCCATCTTATAGATCAATTGACGACTACAGATATCACAAAAAACGGGAAACAAACAAGACGGATGAAAAACTTGCTATGAAACCCGACCACTTAACAATGTTAGCAGCGACAGTTAAACCAACTATGAAGGCGATGAAGAACTCTTTACATTAAGCGATCTAATTTTATACAGATTTTATTTGTATTTAGCACTCTGTAACGGATTAACGTAATCATTACATTTTAAGAGCATCACAAGTAAAGGAGCAATAAACGTTTTCAATAAATTTTTGCTTTCTTATTTTTGATTATCATTATTATTTATTTTTATATATATGTACCTATATCAACTGGATAATTTTTATTGTGGCAAAGTTGCTCCAATGGGCAGACTCTATCAGGGAAATAGTATAGCTTCACAGAAGACCGACGTAGAGTGGACGTATGCATTTTGTACTTGTGTGTTGTCTGGTAATCCAGGGTCCAATATATTTTTTTTCTGACACTGTACACCCAATTCTACCGGCATTATGGAAGTCCTTGAGCAACGGTAGTCGCTATTGATAAAGGTGATTTAAATATTGAAATTAAAATACATTACAGAAATTGAAATTTCTGAAAAAGGAATGCAACAGAAATTTTCGGAAAATTTTTACATAATTATATATATATATATATATACTTAGTATACTAAGCAAAAAACCAGTATATCAATTTTCTATTTAGTTTTCAAACATCAATAAAATTTTGTAAATAAATATAACGACGTAAAGTTCGCATTAGCTTCAATTGAACTATTTTAAAAGTGCAGACCAACGAAATATAATTCTTTTGCTGAATATCATTTAATAGATGCAACGAAACTACAGAATAAACACTGACGCTGTTTGAAAATAGTGAATACGACGTTAATTCGTGATGGAGTGCAGTGGTATTATAATATTATCATTTTTGTGTGTTGCTGATTGTTCACTGATTCACGACGGTGAGTTTAAAAATTTTCGTGAGCCTGAGACGAAAATTATCGAGAGTCTAAATGATGACAGTGCGCTTTCGAGTAACTTCCATACAACCGCATGTTCAGAAGAAGTTCATACCCTTACGAATAGTCTGGACGAAAGGACCCAAGGTCGTATGTTAAAAACAATCCTCACAAAACTTGATGCGCCACGAGATTCAAAGTCGCAATCAGTGGAATCGCTCGAAGAAACTAATAGCAATTTACGTCGAAGGTTTCACTCATTTGAGCCTGTACGTTTAGTGAAAACTTTGCCTGCAGTCTTTGTTAGACCACCTCTTCTTGCATCCTCTCATCATCAACATAGGAAACCAATGGATTATGACGCCGTTCTCAATTCACAAAACGTCATATATGTTCCAGTGAATATTAGACCGCAGAGGACAACTTCTGACGACGAGTTCTGGGCGAGACTCTCTCAAGATACGATAATGAAAAACATGATACCTACTATGGATTTCACAATGCCACGCGATTCGCCTGCGCAATACAAAAAGCATTATCAAGCGCCATTTACCGTTAGCGCTCAAGATATACTGAATGAAGAGGCGGTAATTGCACTTTATCCACAAAATAATTTTGATAATTGCGATATTTTAGAAACAGCATATCCTGAAAGTTATCAGTATTCGGAACATCCATACAACCGGATAATATACCGCAGACAAGCCCAGTTTGAAACGTGACAAAAAGAATACGCAGAATATTAAATCAAATATTTTTGTATTAAATAAAGCGCTTCATTTAATGAGTTTTTATCTTTTTATTTTTAAACATACCAGCATTTTAATATGATCGTGGGAGGTAAATTATTAATTAAGATTGTTATTAAACATTTGTGTCCTGTATATATTACTAACCCATAGTATTCGAATATGTATTGTCAATGACATTCTTGAAATGTTCAACTTTTTCCTTGTTTCTTTTCTACGGGTGCAAATTTTCTATAACTGCAAATCTAGGATTGACATTTACATCATTTAACGATCTTTTAAACTTTTGTAACTTGCGTAATTTTGAATATGTTATTTATTAAACAATAAGCAAAGACAGCTGTGTTGAAAGATTTGGAAATTTTCATTTCTTTACAGTAATGGTGCAATGTCCCCCTGGTGAGGTGATGGGGACCAATCTTCAGTGTATTATCCGTCGTCGCAGAACAATGGCAAACGAAACACACTGGCAGAATTATGACTATCACTTACCAGTATGATAAACTCAAATTATAAACGAATAATAAAACATATAAAAATATATAATACGTTATAAGTAGTACTTTGAGGCAGTTATATTGAAAGCTTTTTGTCGATGCCTTTATGACTAAATGAATGGAATCATATTGTACATATCATGTTATTTTATAAATGTAAGAATATTGGCAGAAACTATTTTAAAAACAATTTAAAAAATAAATTATGAATATGACATGTCGGTCCCTATGTACCTACCGTATTTCAAAAACGGTAAAGTAAGCATTTCAAAGTGATAACATTTTTTTCTGTATAACAACATACCATATAAGATAAGATTTAAATCGTATGTTAAAGATAAGGCGTTTAAAAAGAAATACAATTTTAAGTTTACATTATTGAGAACTGTCAACTCATGTCCTTGCTTGCTCGAAATATGTTCGTTGGCCATGATTGGCGGGTTTTGTTTCTAAGAAGGTCCCGTACCATATGCGAGGAGTATATTCTTTAATGTTTGTATAAAAATTCCATGTCGTAATTAGTATTCAATCTATGAAAATATTGGAAGCCAAAGTTTGTAGGCCTCACATCTGAGGGTAAGATAATAGATTTATCGACAAGGTCGACATAATCCACGTCAAGTTTTAACTGAGTGTTGGCAGATTCGTAACATTTTTATTTTACATGCTTTATGAATCTTTCCTACATTGTGTTGTCACTTCCAAGTGGATGGATTTTTATAAAGAAATACTAATTATTCTCATCTAAGGGGTACTTCGGTCAGGGCCGGAGCGGCATTGGAGGCAGCTGAAATAACTGGCGTAAACATGTGTGTCTCTTTGTTTAGATTATGTATTTGTGCCATTTGCTCTTAAAACTTTGGGTCCGTGGGGCCCCGTATGACAACATTTTTAAAAGGTTTACGTTCCAGTTCCAGGCTTAACGCCACGACTGGTGAGAAAGAGACCTAGTTCTTTTCTTGCTTAAAGGTTAAGCATAACTATTCAACTAGGAAATCTAGCGTTCTCTAGCGTAGTGGCACCATGCCATGTTGATTAGGTTTATTCGATAATATGTAAACTTTATTTAATATTGTATAATATTGTATAACTTTAAATTGAAATAATTCTTAAAACAAATAATTCTCTTTCATTATGCTTGAATTGCCAAGCTGCTTAATGAAATAAATTATCCATTACATAAATTGATATTTTATTGTATTACATTTAATTAAAAAAACTGTATAACACGCGATGATGAAACAGTAAATACACGGGCAATACAGGGCCTAGGACGTGAATAATTAATAAATAAGAAATTGTTTTAAATTTCTGTCAACCGTTGCGCTATCACTGTAAAAAGATCACCTTCAGTAATATTGAAAACACTTACTTCATTTGTAGCGAAACTAAATCTCACACTGTATGTTAATTAAATCACAAAATGGATCATAGATGGGATATAGGAAATTAATAACCTGTCATAATACCCACTGTATTATGACAGGTTATTATGCGAAAGATAAGGAGAAAAGAGCGAATACTAGTGGCGGTCCTCCAATGTAAATTCGGTCAACTTCTTATTAATTATTAAATAATTGAGAGGTATAGGCATGTGTTAGAGTACGTTAACATCGGCTTTAGAAACAAAACAATACTACTGTTTGTTATCGAGTAAAGGGAATTAATAAGTACTGAGAAAATCGTATCAGTATGCATAACAGATAACATTTGTTTATGTTTTTGAGGGGACTATTTTCTTCCAATCGATGCGCTAGCAGGAAGAATTTGATCTAATTTTTTAAATTTTCTTGTAATGAAAGATACGATAAAAGAAAAACAATAATTAATTTATAATTATACACAGATTAAAGTTGCGAAAAGCATGTAAAAATCAATTATTTTAAACTGATCTTTGAGACAATTGTGTTTCTCTTTACAAGCTCATAATAATAATTTAAAGTTTTAAGAGATTATTGGGAAAAGTATAACTTGGTTCAATATTTAATTCTTACATTGACATTTTTCAAATCAATAAAACAAAATTTCAAAACAAAATTTATGGTTTATTATTCGCCGTAATCGCAGCTTCGATAAACTTCAGAATCTGTCCTACTCAAAACTATCCGAGTTTTCCTACACACCATTTCGGTATTACCAAGTAATTACCTAGTTAAAGCGTCACCAGTATTCGACTATTATTACGCTAGTTTTTATTTATACATTTGTGTTGTAATTCATGAATGAGAAACACATAGTTAGTTAAAATAATTTTGTGACGTAGTTTTGCCTCCCTGTTGCGTCATACGGAGAATCAACAACATGCAGTCTGCCTGGCTCCTTTCTGAGGAAATAACTGACGCCAATGAGGCCAGGGGTGCTCCCTATGTAGTTATATATAGACGCGAATATGTTTTATATAAAATATCTACAAGTACATAAAAATACCATGTCAGTACCTACTCTTTTCTTCTTTGTTTTTCAAACGATATTCTTCACTTTTTTGATTAGTGGCTTGGCATGCTTAATTTTTAAATCCATACATCTATACAGATAAATAAAATTGGGGTGTCTGTTTGTAAGAGTCAAATAACCGCTGTTTACTAAATGGATATGGATGTATACACGATACATATACCAATATATTATTTTTTACAATTTTTGTCTGTCTGTCTGTTAGTTCTGGCTGATCCCTGAAACGGCTGGACAGATTTTGACGGGACTTTCTTAATTAGTGAAAATTTTCACGCATACGCACACGCACACACACACACAAACACACAATTTCTTTTGTCATAATTAGATTTTTATTTTATGTTTATTGGCACAAACGTGTATGTTAATTAGGGGATGGGATTGGCTCCTGTAACAGGATATCCTAGTTTGGGAGTCAAGGCGCCATTAAATGTGTAACTAAGTGTTCAATATATCACATTTATTTATTATTTGTTTATAAAAATCGATTATTAGAAATAGCCTGTATAAGGTAATGAAAAATACTGTATAAGGTAAGGAAAAGGTAGAATAAAATAATAAAAAATCTTAAATGTGGAGAAAAACGACATAGTTGTAAAATTTAGTACGCGGAAATTATGTCTTTTCTAATGCACGAGGGACAACCCTGTTCCTTAGAAGTTTGACGGGAATGATAACGTAACAGTCCACATCATTTATAAGACGACTGGTAGGTCCGTATTTGGCATATAAACATTAGCGCTGCTGAAAGTAAGTTTACTTGATTTATTTTAGAATTTTCGAAGAATTAACAGATACAATGGCTCGGCTAACATTAGTATTAGCTGTGATTGCCATTTTCGGAATTTTTGTTGACGGTAGACACATACACGTAGCTGAATCAAGGGACAGAAATTCTGATGTATCAAACATGGAGGTCAACACGGATATAGATAGAGGAGGATTGTCGATTGTAAGTTTTTGTTTACTAATGAACGCTCTCCATAGTTTTCTAAATACTTCTTTTACTAACGTACATTCAGAATATGAAATGTACGTCATGGTACCTATTTCATAAGATTAAAGTAACATTGAGTTTTAATGTCCATGTATAATTTTTTCCACAAAAATTTAGTATTAAATTCTTTATTTAAAGTCGAGCTCTAACAGTTACTTTGAACTTAGAGCATTTAATATTACATACCTAGAGATCAGTAACAAAGGCAGATGATTATCATCGTGGCGACATCGCCGTTCGAGTCCGAAACTTCCAAAGATGGTATTTGATATCAAAGCATTCCAACTTATGATAACAGATGTCGTTAAGATCGGCAGCGTTAACTTAAAAACCCTAAAGCGATCCAAACTACTCTTATTACTTTGAGGCAGGTTTTATCACGAGCTTTTTTTTGGAGCCACGTTAATGCCGAGACCATTCTTAAAAACTCATTGTTTAAAAGCCATAACTTTACGTAAGTGCAATGAAGAAAACTTGTTTAGTCTTGTTACTACACCAATATACTTTGCTAAATTTATTTTTCTTTAGTGTTTATTAATATATATTAAATAATAATTACTTTAAAAAACTTTTAAGTTAAACGGTTTTATTTTATGTTTTTTTTTGTTAAATTTTTTTTTGTTAATATTGTATTGTCATCTAAATTAAATATGTGTACCAAATTTCAGATCAATCTGACAACGGCAAGGTGCTTAAATTTCAATTTCTAATTTTGACCCAAATAAATAAACAAGCAAATTCCGTACGGGTCGAGCTAAATAAAACCATTTAAAAATAAAGAACAATTTTATGTTTTCAGGACGACATTCGGAATTTCAAGCCCAGCAGTTTCACACCAATGCATAATATTTTATTCTTCAAGACTTATCCACCTTGTAAGGACGGATTTAGGATGGACTTCTTAGGTATCTGCCGAGAAGTCTGGGACTAATTTTCCGAACCTTTCAGTTGTAACGATTGTGATATTAATTTAGGTTTTAGGTTTTTTTTTTTTTGGTAAAGTTTAATATTATTTATAATGTTCAAATATTATCTGGTATATTATTTTATTCTATGTTTATAATAAAACGAATGTAAAAAACAAACCTCTCTTTTATTTAATCAACCAAAAGAGGAAAACAATAACATTTGATATTCATTTCACAGTTATTAATTTTAAAAAGGTTCACACGTTTAGCCTCAAAGATAAAACATGAAATAAATATATATATAGCAATAAATTGTTACTCGTTAATTTGATTTCATATTCAGTCGATAAGCTTGAGGCTAGAAATCTCCGTACAGGAAAATATTTTATTCAATAAAATAAGACACAACAGCTATCAATGCACAGCTAAAACCACTGTATTAGAATTGTCTTCAGTCTCAAATAATTTAAGGTTATCACATAAGTGATGCCGGGGGTAGAGTAACTGCTCCGTGTCCAGATAGTGGTGAAGGCAGCGTCGCTACTCCTCTAATCCACGCCCCTCGTTCGCAGCAGAATGACTCCACATTACTCAGAGCTCGCATGTAAATCGTAGTTACACCACCTAAGGCACATCATTTTATATATTATAATCATTAATAGGTACTTTCATGGCTATCGGCCGGTTTCTATATTTATCTACAGATTTGGTAACTAGCGATAGCTATTTGACATTAGCTCCATAGTACTTCCGTCAAAATTCTATCTCCTGTAACCAAATCTATCTATAGGTAGAATATTAAAACCGGCCGTGTATAACTTCATTATAATGAATATTCTGGGTAACAGTCGTGATATATTAAGTATTAATATTTTCGGTTTTCGAGAGATCTTAAAATCCTACTCACGTCGTTCAAAATAAGGGTAGAAGTACTAAGTGTAATAAATTAGGGTATTGCATCTGTACTGGATAAAGTCCTCAAATTATATAAATAGAAAAAGAAACGTAGCTATAAAGACACAGGGTAACTTAAAGGAATAACATTTGTTGGGCCAGCTAGTAGGAATTTCGGTTTAAGTATGTCAGTGTTACAATATCTTCAGAAAAGTCCATTAATGGCATGGTTAATTTTTTGATATGCTTGATGGAAGCTTGACCAAATTGAGGAATATATTTATTTCAGAAAACTTGGTTTCTAGCTTTGGAACGTGGGGTTCTTGCAAGAAACCTTGATCTACTCATGTTAATATTAATATAAATAAATTTCTATCAGCGCACCTATAATAATAAGTTGCGTTCCGAGGTAAGCGAGGGCGTGGCCGTGCCTGGGGATTGACATTTCCGTTTCCTGCTTCCACACGCGCTCCTTCCAGTCCCAAATGTCTATAGCGCCCACGCTGCTAGGAGTCTTGTCCTAAAATCCATCCTTTTTAGCATTATGTCGAAGGATGACGGTGAAAATCTAACAAAGACCCGCTGTGTAAAAGTTGACAGCTGGCAGTTATTAACTGCCAACCAATAACTCGTCTTACATATTTGTAAATAATGAAATATAATGTCCCGTCGTTGTGTGATGTATGATTTCCCAGTCATAATTATACATAAATAAGAATAGGTTAATTGGTCTGTACATAGTCAACATGATTCTTAATACTCTTTGTGAAACCGTATGGATTACGTGAAGCTAACGCATGCGCTTAAAATGGCATGTATGTACTTACGTGCGATATTTGACCGGAAGAAATAGATTGTCGTTGTACGCAATACTTTAGCAATCGATCACGGTACGACGATATAGACGAGCCCAAAAGCCGCCAAATATTTACATTGCATGGATAACGTGTTAAATGTAGTACCTTTTCAGTTATCTTCCCAGCACCGCCGATTATAAACAGTTTATCGTTCATGGCGAACAGTGTGGCAAAACATCTCGGAAATCGAAGACTGTATATTTCTGTCCAACTAAAAGATAATAATGTTTGGACATAGTAAATCTATAAAATTGTTAGTATGAAATGGAGTGTTTATAAAATAAATTAATGATGTAATATTTTCCTGTCTATAATTATATAGCAAAGACAAGGAGAACAAGTCTTTGCTATTTTGTTTGTTATAGCGTCCAACTTTCTGTGGAGTTGGAAACATGCACACATGCACGATTGATTAATCGGACATCCGATACTGAACTAATAAAGTCTGAAGAGGAAAACCGAACGCAACTCACTCATTTGTTTTGGAGTTGTAGCACTCAACGATCTTGCAGACAGGATTCTTCTTCTCTCCGGTCATGCCGCCAGCCACCCAGATGTATTCGCGGTACTTTACGGATGCCATCGCCATGCGGGCGACACTCATTGAGCGAACCTCGCTCCACGTGCCAGTCTTAGGGTCGAATCTCTCGACGGACCGAAGTACTCTGAGGACATCAGCTTTTGGGCATCCTTTCTTTATTGTTCCATCACAAACATTAAGGCAGACTGCTTAATGATATTTTTTCTAATACAACGAATAAGCATGAATTTCGCTACCGTTTTTTCAACGTTTTTGCTTTAGAAGACAATCGCATTATTATTTTTCAACAGTTGTTCGACCTTTTTCAGATAAAGCTGACTAGTGCGAACACTATTAAAGGAAGCATTTACTGCTGAAGACAAAATAGTGAGGTTTATGTATTAAATCGGATCTAGGTCACACCTGCCCTTTTTGTCTTGTCCGCCAATAGCGTACAAAGCCATGCGATGCACTACAAGGCCAAAGTTCTTCCTCGGCACGGCCAGGCCCGACTCGCTGTACCAAGACCGTGTCACTGGCTCATAACTCCACACCGTCGACACGACCACCGACTTACCACGAGTGTCGTCGTCTCTGGGATCTGCGCCGCCTAGAAGCAAAGCGCCACGGATGGGACAACTAACGAAGGGTAATTTGAGATCATTATCAGTTTTTGATGTGAAATATATAACGACGTAAGTATAAGAGAGAATGTGATGCTTTCATATTTTCTTCCGTTTAAACTTTAAAGTTTCCATGAAGAGTAAATAGACTGAATAAGAAATTACTTTGCGTATTAACGGGACTATATTGTGAAACCGCCCCTCTTAAGAACATAATTATACACTATTAACATTATTATATTATATGACCACTTTCATTGGAAGATGGAATTAGTGCAATATTTTGATTATGCGATGAGTGGTGGCTAGTGTAGAATTGGTTTCACTTTTAGTCGGAAATCTAACTGATGACAATAACGGGTTTTAAATCAAAGTGTATATTTACCAACAAGGTACACTCTTCCTCTTAGAAAAGCTACAGAGTGATGGTGTCTCGGTTCCGGTAGGTCCCCCACGTAATCCCACGAGTTTGTGACTGGATCAAACCTTGTAGCATAAACAGTATAGATAATAAAAATTAAAAAAAATATTTCGAATTTTAGTCATACATAAATATTCAAAGGTCAAAATAAATAGCCAAATTTAACTCTACTAATTTTACTGTTGTAAGTCCACGAACCAGATTCTGCTAAAACACTAATGCCGAAAAGTACCACGGCCTATTGTTAGAAGACGCGAAGTAGGATTATATTCTTATGGTAATAACCATTAACATAAGTTACCTGTAAATATCTTTTCCTGTGTTACGCCCCACACCGTATGCGGTATGTGGGTCGATCCCACCAAATACTAATACCGTTTCTCGGTCCCAATTGAACAAGGATCCCTCAGCAATGTAGCTTTTATTAGATGGCCCGAGAACTGAAGTCGAGAGCTTATTCCTGAGAATATTACATAAGTAAAGTAAATTAAAATATTTGGCAAATGATAACATGGCCAGCCAACATCAGTGCGGATGGATTGAGACCCATGACTTATCCTTGAAATCTTCTTTTTCAAATTAATTCGAAGCTGTGAACATATTCTCACAACGCTTTTCATCAAAAATTGCAATGAATAATTTCCTTGGACCAAGGTATTAGAACTGAGGCGTTTCTTTCTTTTTTTATTTTTAGAGTTTAAAAAATTAAAAGCGAGCGTGGACACTATCCTACAACAGTTAGTTGCAAAATATACAATATTTCAATCACGTTTTTTTTGAAATGACAAGATGAGTTCAATAATTCAATTTTATTTGTCGTTTATAAACTGGTCTTGCTCTTTACATTTAAAGTAATTCCAGGAGATGAACAAAGATTTGCGAGACCAAGTCCGCCTTAATCAAAAATAAAAAATATTTCATCTAGGCCTATTGTAGGCCTATGTATTCTTAGATATTCTTAAGGACGAATGGCGTGCGATTACGTTAAAGTATTTAATACAGGTGACCTAATATTTACAATAAAACACTTTTAAGTGTAAATCAAAAGCTGCTGAACAAATACATTTTAAATATCCATACTTAATATAATAAATGCGAAAGTAACTCTGTCTGTCTGTCTCGCTTTCACGCCAAAACTACTGAACCGATTTAAATAAAATTTGGTACATAGATACTCTAGAGCCTGAGAAAGAACATAGGCTATTTTTAATCGGAAAAAAGTGTTGTAAACGGTTGAGAATATCTTTCTTTAAAAATATAGATAGCTTTTAAAGGGCTTCAACGCGAGGGAGACCGCGGGCGGAAAGCTAGTTACCTATATAAATGACATATTTAGCTTACATGTTGTTTTTGGCGAGCGACTCTTTGGATTGATTGAAGAGTTTCACGCGACACCTTCGTAAGGGCTCTTACTCGCATCAACTGAATAGAACTCGGGTTGAGTCGGGCTCGTTCGGCTAGGATCGGAAACGGAATGCGCAATTGAAAAACCGCTTTAAAAAGTCGCAGACTGCTCTGCTTGTGAGACGGTTGTGACGGTATGCACATGGGACCCTGACGTTGGCGTCATTTGTGATTCCCTGTGCAACCGTGATTCGATTGATTTCGGGCTTTTAATAAATTTTCTGCACTCATATATTTTCATTTATTTATTTAAACTATATTGTTACAATTTAAGCTAAGGGCTACAATGAGCGGACTTAACCAGTCAACCCCTGTCATGGTGTAAAGTAGATGTGAAATAAATTAGATTGGTGTTTTTTTACAAGAATGTACATTTTATACTTAAAGTATACATGCCCCACTGCTGGGCAAAGGCCTCCTCTATACAGAGAGAATCAGGGCATAGAATCCACCAAGCGGCCCTACTGCGGATTGGCGGACTTCACATATCTTCGAAATATTTTTTTTTTGTTATTATTTCGAAAATATGCAGGTTTCCTCAGGATGTTTTCCTTCACAGCGGAGCACGTGATAAGTCAGCACTTAAAGTTAAAAACTTCATTGGTGCTGGCACCGGGGATCGAACTCAGGTTGCTCGAGTATATTGAATTAAAGGCGAGCGCCCGGACACTGAGCTATCACGGCTCATTTTATACTTAACGTATCATAATAATAGTCTGTCTTATATGTCTTTATCTCTATACAACCGTATCGCCGTATCAGCATTCGCAGAAACTACGGAATTCGCAAAAGTGTTTAAACACCTTGTCAGCTAGTAACACAGGGAAGACCGAAATCTAAAAGGTGATTGTGTGTGTACGGCGAAAATTATCCTCCGATCTGTACCCACTCTTGCACTTGTTTCATCATCGTCGTCATTCCCCTGCTTTTATCCCAGCTAGGTGGGATCGGCACAACTCGATGATTCCGTGGCGCAGTGGCTAAGGTATTGGCTTCGGCGTTGGGGGTCGTGGGTTCGATTCCCACACGGGAAAACTATTTGTGTGACCCACGGATAGTTGTTTCGTATCTGGGTGTTAGTCCGCGTGAAATTTATGTTTGTAAAACGTCCTTACAACACAGGATAATGTTATCCTAAAGCTTACTTTAAAATGGCAATGTTTAAAAAAAAAAAAACTTGTGAATCATGTTGTAAGTGGTTTTGGCTAGTTTGGCTTTTATACGACCGGTCGCCTGCCTCACATCAACCCTCCTTGGGAACAAACGCCTAGATCCGGAACAATTACCTATGGGTCACACAAATACTTGGCTCTGGTCGGAATCGAACCCACGACCCCCGGCGCCAATAGGTAGGTAACCGGGTCTTCCCATCTTGCGCTTGTATAATCTCTTGGGAAACCTGATAACTTTATGATAAATTAAGAGTAAATCTTTTAGTGTATACTCAACTCATAATTCATCTCGTTACACTAACCTTCGTGATCCAGCTAAAGCGGCTGTAGCGGCGGCTAAATAGCAAGCAGCCACGCTGCTACGCCTTTTGTCACATACATATTCATTCTGAAGCGATGTATTAACGATATAAGTTTCGGCATCAATGATAAATAAATCTGTATCTTGTAATATAACATTAAAATATAAGTCGTAAATGTGTTTACTGTGATATAATATTAAAGTAAACGGCTCATTTTTAAGTGATGCTAATACCGGATATTGCAGTCAAGATTGAGGTAAATAATGAAGTTATTAAATGGTCAGTTTCACCCACATGCTCCTCTTGTGACTTTGTCTGAAAATGCAGAGGAGCCTTTTCAGTGTAACTTGTTTCCATGGTCTCACTGCTGCTACCACTTTTCGTAATGTTAAAGTTTTCAGTTGAATCCTTTTCCGGCGGGTCGTACATTTGTGAACGTTGGGGCGACTGTAATAAGAAAGGTTTTTTACCGTTGACAAATACCCTATACTATTAAATAAAAAAATAAATATTTTAGGACACATTTTTAAAAAAACGTTCTCTAGTCCCAAACTAAGCAATGCTTGTACTATGGGTATTAGATAACTGATAAACATACTTAAATATACTTTTCTTTTGTAAATAAATACATATTATACATTTATAAACACTCAGACACTGGAAAAAAACTATGTTCATCGGACAATATTTTTCCAGTAGTAGGGATGGAACTCACACCCTTTGTCGTAGGATGCAGGTACACTAACCACTAGGCCATTCGGGTCGTCGTATAATTCGATAAGTAAATTTAGTCAGTCAAGTCATTTTTTACTTGAAATATGTAAATAAGTAATATTTGTAATGTCAAAAAATGAAAAGTCAATAAACTTACAGCATTTTGCTTTTTTTGCAGTTGCGGGCTTTGCTTGAGGTTTTGGTTGTGACTTTGGTTTATAGTTTGTTTCCCTTGAAATGATCGCTGTTCCTAAAACGAAAACCAGAATGAAAAATATTTTAAATGGCTTGACTATCTTGACAAATGGACGATCGTTAAAATGGCAGTGCAGGGCCGAATGCTTTTCCTTATGATAAATTCAAGTTCTGGCTGCTATTAACGAAATTATTTTCCACTCCTTTTAACAATAATTTCTTAAAAAAACAGTTCGAGTACGACATCTTCTAATATTAAAAAAGCAAACAACGCCAAACATATATCTCACCATCTGTCTCGCGTAATTCTTACTGCAATTGTAATTGCTTTTATTTTTTTTTATGCGAAATGTTGTCAAACGAGCAGACGGTTCACCTGATGTTAAGTGAATACCGCCGCCCGTGGACATCTGCCACACCCAAGGGTTACAGATGCGTTGACAACCTTTTGAAAATTGGGCTGCGGCTACCTCACTCACCAGACGAAACGCGAAAGTATTTGTCAAACTTCCACTTTACGCTGGTCTTCTGTGAGGTCGTGGTACTTAGCCGGACGGAGCTGTCCATTCGTGCAACAGCCGAGGCTGCTGCGTGGCCCCACTACCGTTAAAATATGTTACCGTAGCAGTGTGGGTTTGTTACGTGTAGTACAATTAAAAGTATTTAAATTCTTAGTTCAACTTCAAATAACTTTCAATGATCAACAGCGGCGAGCATTCAAAAGAAATCGCTGCGTTTTAAAGTGGTTTTATAATATAAAAAAAAGGTGGTAAGAAGTTTTGCAATGTCCACTTGCATCCATTTGTTTCTGCGGCTTTCGCTCTGTGACAGGGCTCTTTCGGGACGGTTGTGGTGTAAGCTGCTGGGGCATGGGAGGTCGACCTTCGGAGCCGAGTCTTGGGGATCTTGTTGGCGATCTTGATTTAGTATCTTTTTGCACCTGGAAAAATTATACGGAAGCAGTGAAAAATTCAAAGTAGGAAAGATAAGTGGAAAATATTGTGAACACAAAATGATTTACATTGTTAAAATTTTTTTTTGCGTACTTATTAGCCGTGCTCTAATACTAATTATATCTTGTTTCTGCGGGAATTATAAATTAGTATGGCATAGATGGAATAAAGATTGGGGGCCAAACTGAATATTCCATTTATGATATTCTCAATCTGTTCTTGAGATAATTCTCAAGATGTAAATGGCAAAACATAAACATGTAAATGCGAACATTTCTTTAGTATTTTTAGGAATATAGTACAGTAATAAATTGTACTTTTCAAGGTTTTATAAATAAAGAATTTTCATCTATAGGTGGAAATTTTAAAATATTTTAATTGTTTCTGAAAGTAATTTCGGCAGGACTAATATTTACTGCACTTTAGAATATTTTTCTTTTACCTGTCTTCTGTTCTCGAAAAATTCGCTCATAGTTGGGAAAGATTTGTCTTTATCCCCACCGAGCCCCTTCAATGATCCAGGCAATGGAAAATCCATCTTAGTTCGCCTCATGTCCATTTTATCGTTGTCCATGCCACGCAGGGTGCCTGATTATATATAGATTTCAAACAATTTTAATCATTGCAGTTTCATAATAAGTAGGAGACTATTAATATTCGAAGAAGGACAAGTTTTGAATTATTGGTTCGAACAATTTACATAAGTGCATAAGGGAATAAAACTATTACTAAATTAAGTGTACATACTGGGCAAGTCATCGTTTCTACGTGGCGGTTGCATCATCGACATTTGTTGATACATCTGCTCTTTTGGTACCATGAAATGCTCGAGGTATTTCAAGAAATCCTTGTACGTCACGTGGTTCTGTAATGTAAACAAGTAATAAGACGTAAGTGGGCTGAAACTCTTCGGTGATTTATTCATTCCGTGTTTTTGGTAGACGGCCGATGATACGAAAATTTTCCTTATTCGTAAAGTCTCTTCGTCCTTCTATATGAAATGCGAACGTCATGTAATGAGACCTTTGTCCCGCTTGTCGTACAAACAAGCTGAGCACGATCTTTAAACATTCTTAGCAATCAAAACAATGTGCCCTCCATTTTGTTATAAAAGTTTAGACAACATAATATAATTACATTGATAATGTACATTGCTTCATTATTTCTATTTCAACATGGATTTGTGAAAATATACATATAATGAGCACCTTTTCTTCACCGATCCAATTCCTTTCCGCTGGCTCGGTAAGTCCAAGAACGTCTATCCAATGGTAATAGTTTTTGGAGTTGTTACCATACCAATACTTTATGATTACATACCTGTAAAATGTATCGTAACAAAAGGTATATTGTAAGGTATAAAATTAAGGCAGGCGGAACGTATTGGTCATTTTAAATGAACGAACAAACTGCAAAATTAATGTAAGTATTTAGACATAAATAATTTTAACTAATTTTTGGTTACGGCGGCGGCTTTTCATGATTGATTCTCAATGAATTTTTTACCTCGTTCCATAGTATTCAAAAACGCCGGTTTTAATTTGATCCGGAGAATTAAATGTGCCCGTATCTCTTTTTTAGCTGGGACTTACGGTACCATTTTGGGTAACAACAGATTCAGTTACACAAAACAGATGACAAAAAACAAAGTAATAAAAATAGATGTCAGTCTTCTCAAATCGGTTTGACCGCCTTTCAAATTGTCTATCACCCGCGAATAGCGCCGTCAGTGTATATCCCTTCTTTTACACGGTAACAAATCGATTGTGTCGGAATCATTTGTTTTATGATACCGACGCAATCGATTGTATCAATTGAAAAGCATCAAGTGGGATTGTGGTCAAGCGTTGGCTTATAAAAATTACTCACGCGAGTCCATCGTCCACCATTTGTTGCACCTCGGGCTCGTTGACTATCTCAAGTATTTCTCCGTTGTCCGGGTTCCTTTTGATGTCCACCAGCTGCCACGGGGAGATGAGGCCGAAGCGGATGCATCGCATCACATCGACGACCAAGCGGCGGCGCGCCGGCCAATTGCCGTACAGCCAACGCACACCAGCCATTAACACTTCGATTTCACTTAAATTTATAGATTTTTTATTAAAAAAAAAATAAATAAGAATAAAAAAAAAGAATGAAAGATTAATAGAATTTTTATGAGGACACGCCAACAGGTCGCAGGCGGTTTACCAGGTCTGAAATAATCAGTACCCATGTACAACCAACACACTGGTGGGATTGCGGTTTCGTAGCTAACCTTGAGGTGGGTGGAGATCGGTTACTTCGCATGGCGAAATTTACGTGAACTATACGCCGGTCTGCTGTGAGACTACGGACTTCCCCGGACTCAGATCGTTCACGCAACAGAGTAAAAAATAGTTTGAGTAAAATCAAATCCCACCTTGACAGCTCTTTTTATAACAACGTAACGAGAGGGTTTCTATGCACATAATTACTATTTTAGGTACACTTCCAGTGTTAACTCATCTTCAATTAGTTTGGGTAGCTTCATTAAATAGTAATACGATGATTTTAACAAATAATATTCTTATTCATTAATTTTCTCGATTCATGTTACGTTTTTATGGCCGTACCTTGTTACACATATGTAATTTGACTTGAGAAATGTCATAACTTCATCCGGTTCTAGCTGAAGAAAATCCCGTGAAGCTACCAAAGGTAGGAAGAATTTCATCACACGAGGGACCTTTATAGAAGAAAAATTTTAATTGGTTTCTATGAAAATGTTGCAGTTACAGTTGAACAGAGGTTAGGTTAAAATATCAACCACGAACTATACAACGAACGAACCATGAGATCCATAACTGGCGTCATGCCCTTGGATCGGGCTTCTCTGTACAAAGCGAAGGCTGTGTCCTCCGTGAATAAACTTTCGTTCACAATAAATGACCAACATTGATCCTCCAAATCTGGTTATAAACAAATAATAAAATATTAAGCTCAAAAGCCTACAGCTTAAAATGGAATTGAAGATTTAATCATTTTACTTTAACCTTTGATAGACAAATATTGAGCGGCGCAAAATAATTCCAATATATTTTCCCTCTTTAGAACTTTATTGCTCTCTGGACCGCTGAAAATCATCCACTCGTATATTGTTTGAAATGCCTCAGGCGTTACGCTTGTCTAAAATGATTAAAATAAGTAGTACAGAATTATGTAAAATAGAAATTAAATAATATATTATCATCCACATAAACGTTAGAAGAATAAATCCGTAAAAGTAGGCATTACTTTGATTGTCAAAAATTGGTCGCGTTTTTAAGGCGTGGCAACTTATGAATTAAAGATTGTCGTTACTAACTGATAAAATATGAGTTTTCAACACGATAAAACTTACAATTGGGAGTTCCATCTCATGCATATTATTCATATTGAAAAACGTTGAATAAATCTGTAAAATAATAAGATGGCAATGGAATTCTTCTTTGCCAATATGTATTATTGTGTCGGTATTTCTATAAACAAAAAACAACGATAGGTTATTAATTGGTTATTAATATTAACAAAGATTTTTATTATAGCAAAGATTAAGATTACAAATATGTGTATAACATTATAGTTATTAATAGCTGCTCCCCTGGGCCCCTTGTCATTACAATATTAAAACTATTAAGAAATAAATCATTTCTCACATGTAGTTTAATATCCTACGATAAAATTCTTGGAATAAATCCTGTTTCTTTGGTAGTTGAACACGCATCCAGTCTATGGGTTGTGCCATTGCATACCCTAGGCTAACTAAGTCTTTGCCCTGTTCTTCCTTTAGTACTGGTGTTCTAGATTTGATATGACGATCATTAACTGTTTTTAATCTTAGATTAATTGAGTCTTTTGGCGCATAATTTATTTGCGATTCCGAGTCATTTTCGTCTGTCTGTGAAAAACTGATAATTGATCTACGCTGAAGTTAATTATTTAATTAGCTGAATAAATCATGGCGACACTAACAAAAGTACTTTCAACTTTATTGTCGAGTTCTGCAGCTGCTTTGGCATCGAAAAGATCTCCAGTTGGTTTTCCCTCGAATTTTACTTTAACCTTTGCTTGAGTTGGGTCTGCCAGAAGTACACCTACAGTTGAAGATTGAAAAACAACCTACAACACGACAAATGTCATTAGATGAATTATTTTCTCCGAGTTTGAGTATTACTTTTGTGATCGTACCTGATTCGACTGAACTTTCAGATTACCGCTTGGTGTAGATTTGAACGGGAATGCGGCTAGCCTCTGTACACTAATTTCATCGGTGCTACATAAACTGAAAACGTTAAAATTTAAGAAATGGACGTTTTTATTATTTGGATACGCATTTAAGTTAAAAATCATTTCATTTGATCTATTAACCTCGAATTATCAGCACAAGATGAAATGTTTCGGTCAACTTCATAATCATTCGTAGTACCTTTTGAATACGATTCTGGAGTCATGTCTATTTTCTTCTTTAGTCTTCTAAAATTTATATTAAAATAAATTATCTTTCAAGTGCTACATTAACATTGCTGAACTTGAATACCACTACGTTAATTTAAAAAGTATTACTGAGTTGTTTAAGACTATTCAATAAACACTTACTTTCCTTTGTTGTTATTCCACGACATGTATTGCGTATCGGTTATAAAATTTTGATATTGCACCCTATAAGCGTCCCCTGAGCAATACTGGAACGATGTTTGATTGTGACTAGTTAGAAATTTATTGGAGTTTTTAATAAAATCTAACGCTGAAATGAACAAAAGGATAAATAACGGCAAAATTTGATTCGTTTTCATGTATTATAATTGTTTTACATATTTATCATTTATTTTATAGAATATATTTATTTTGGTAGATAATACAAATCCTGTCCTGGAAGCTTTGTATATGATCAAAGTACTTTTTTAACCACGTTTCAAATAAACAGCTAACTATTAAGAATTATAAAGATACTCAAACATATGCAGTACTATAAGATAAATAAAATATATTAAAATATATAGTTATGACAACACGTATGAAACATAATAAAAATAAATGAAACACAAGCTGTACGGAAGCCCGGAAGTAAGGTAAACTGTATTAAGGAGCACCGTCTTCTGCACATTTCAGCTAGAAGCTTCTACTAATCTTCTTCTTAATAAATAAAAATGAATGTTGGTAAGCGCATAACTCAAGAATGGACCAAAATCGGCTAATTTATTTTTATGTATGTTCTTTAAGGTTCACGGAAGGTTTTAAAACTGCAAAAAAATAAAAGAACGAAGTCTGTCCGGGCAGCTTGTTAAAAATAAAAAGAGATGTGAGTGTGGTTGGTTTAACTAGAATACATTTCGCGTCGATCAAATCGTGCTATTTTTACGACTACTTTATATATAGAAATTAAGTCTGTTAGTGTTGTTACCTGTAATTTAAATATGTGCATGATGGACATATTTAAATTATAGTAAAATTAACACTACACTATAAGTAACTTAAAATAATATATAGTATGTGTATATTGTATATTGTAACAACTTTATGATATAGATAAACCTATTTTTATGTGTAGTCCTGTATGTATTTACTTGGTTAGCGACACTAAATATATAAATAATATAATTGATTTATATGTACTCGATTATTGGCGTATTCCCAATTATTCAACAAAAATTATAGTTAAGTTATTATAGTTAAGTTATTATATTACCGAATAAAAGAAAATTAGAAATAAAAATGCACTTACGAAAATCGCTAGAATTTGTAGCAAGATCAGATAATGAGCTGCTTTTAAATAATTTAGGTTTAACCGTTATGTAATATCTTTCGAAAATGTTTCCGAGATGATTTCTAGTTTTTCTTCTCGGCTTATGGCTGAAAACGCTAATGTCAAAATGTATTTTAATTAATCACGCTTATATAATATGTCGCACCCTGCGTAGAATAACGTGACATCTGCAAAATTGTAATTGTTCAGGACGGCCGATTCAAATTATATTTTTTTTATATTGGTCATAATTTTCTTATACGTAGCAGTTGCTATAAAATTTTTTGAGATTTGTAATATGAATAGGTATATAAACAAACAGTATACTTTTTGAATAAATAATTATATACATTTAGGAAATAAGAGGTTTCAAATGTAATAGTGACGTTTTCCTACGGAAAATGGCAAACACTGATGGGTTCTTCATTGTTCAACGGAACATTCCAAAAAATAATAGGTCACACTTTCATTTATAACGTTGTTCTACTAAAAACTCAGAAAATATGTATAACATAAACGCATGTAGCACTGTTTTCAACGAAATATGCATAAAAAAGTGGGTGACTGTGCAATAATGATCAATTGACTCTAATAGAGTATATTACACTCGTCTATTACATTAGTAAGGTTAGTCTAGTCAGTACAAAAAAACAGTGTCTAAACGTGCATACGTCCTTGTACTGCGGAGCACAAATCAGATAGAATTTTGTTCTATTCTGACTCTCAATATCTATAAGTCAGAAGAAAAAAAATTAAAATGTTATCTGAAAGCGTAGACAATAATTATGACTATCCGACGATAAAATCTAATTCGTTCTATGTGACCACAGAACGTTATTCTACGCACGGTGCGATGTATAAACAAACTTAAGGTGCTACGTATCTGTGTTCGTGTACTCTAATGTGAAAGGATGGGTTGAATTCTTAAACTACTATCACATACAGCAAAACTATAAGCATTTGAAGAAAATCTTACTTACATTTGTGTTTTTTGGGCAGGACTGTCTCCAGCATTTGAAACTTGCTTCTCACAGTTAATCTGTATTCAATCCGTTACAGAGGTAAAATTAATTATTAAAAACTATTGCTCCAAAGTAAGTAGCATAAAACAGAAAGTTTTTATAAGGCAAAAAAAGTTTAAAACTGCATAAATAGTTCGTATCGAAATTAATGGATTCATTGCTTATTAATATTTATTTTAATATAAATTTTAACGAGAATCTATTCAATAGTAGTCTAATTGAAACACTAAAGGTAATACTAAAGTAGTAATAATAAATAAATAAATAATAAATATTTCGGTTCATTATTTTACACAACGTTATCTAGTCCCAAACTAAGCAAAGCTTTGCACTATGGGTAGTAGAAAAGTGATAAACATAGTTGAACGTACTTTTCTTTCGTAAATAAATACATATTATAAATATGTAAACATCCAGACACTAGAAAAACACTATGTTCATCACATAAAACGTTTTACAGTAGTGGGGATCGAACCAAGAGACTATCAACTACGCCAATGTCAACGATCGACAAATTATTTTCACATAACGTATATTGCAAAAGTCTCTTAGAATATAGATTATACGAAAATAATTTGCCTTGCCTCTAAAATAATAAAAAAATATCGAAAAATACGATCGGAATAAAAGGCGATATAAGACCGGCGCGGCGTCCGAAAATGTCCAACAGAACCTTCAATACTAAACACTAAATGCTAAATTCTAATTAAAAATATTTGTTTCAGATAGTGGCAAAAAAGTGTTGCATTTTCAAGAGGAAGCATGTTATTTTACGAGTTTTAAGGCCCATTTACACGATGCCATTTTCTTGTACATACAAGAGCAATAATTGAATGCAATAAATTGCGCGCAATAATTGGTTAGACCATTTGTTGTTTAGACCATGCAACTCATTTATTGCTTCAATTTAATTGTATACAACAGGCAAGAAACTGGCACCATGTAAATGGGCCTTTAGTTTCACTACCAGGTGGCCAGCGAGCTGGCCCGACCTTCGCCCGTGGGCATCGCAATACTCGTAGGGTTACCCAGTGTGCTTCTATATTTCATTGGTATGCTCATATTACACGTAAATATTATATAAGGAATTATTATATAAGAAAATAAAATTATTAATAATTTCACGTGGGGGAAGTCTTTATAAATTTGACCTTTGCTAATCACTTCTCTCTTGTTTTAGTCGATCTAAGGAAATTAAAACCTAAATGACTTCACATCGCTATTTTTCATTTTATGATATAATTATAAGTTACATGAAAATTAAATTGGAAACACCACCGTATGTTTCATATTATATTTGTATGTGGTTCGGCGGCACCTTTTCACGTCTTAAAAACTATATCCATTTTGTCAAATCAGTCATATTTACTCACCTTTTCTAGACTTTTACTCTTTTGCATTTCAAATTCACTAAACGAATAGTATATATACAAGGACCATATTGAATAAAGAATTCTTTTCAAGGTTATAAAAAATAACCAAAACTTCCTAAAAATTTTTGACAGAATTTGTGATTAATGGTAAAACTAATAACTCGTTTAAAAGTGTTCGAAGACATGTCAAACGAAAAATACTTCAACTGGTTAACCGACAGATATAAAAAGTATAATCACAAATGGCAGTTTGTCGTCCTAAATGGCAGGTAATTGAGAAGCAGGAAATAAACATTAAGAATTAGTAACCTTATCTGTCATGCTCGTAAATAGAAATTAAATACACAATATTGTCTATTATTAAGTTCTGCTAAATGCGTGTTTTTTTTTAAAACATTTTTTAAATGCTTACGTGCCAAACACCGGGTGTCGGATTTGTAAAATAGAAAGTCCTGATCAGGATAATGGGAAATACTGTTTAAATCATTGCATTTTCGTGGGTTTTTAACGAGTTTGCAAAGTTTGATGGTTTTGATCTAATCGTTCAGTGTGTGTAAGAGTAAATCTGAATGTACTCGTAGTGTTAGTGTAAATCTCGTTTAAAGACTTCGTTACATTCATACATACATACAGGTGAAACTATTAATTTTACCAAGTTAACCGTTTCAATATTTTTTTGCAAATGAAATCTATTGGCTACGTTCCTTAACACTTTGCTTATGGTGAATTTATATATGTGTTAGAGTAAAAAATATTGTTGTTTTGTGGATAAATTTATGAAAATATATGTGTTGGTAGTATTACTAAGGTTAGCATTAAGTATGGTGAAAATATGTATATCGTACAATATTTTTCGTATGGTATCAGAAATATATTAATATAAAATTATTATTTGTATAATTTCAAAGGGGTATTCCGAAATCAAAAATCAAAAATAAATCAAGTTTTTTTATAAATAATTTAAATTGTTAGTTATAATTTTAGATGGTGTTTTACCGTGTGCTTGAGGGAAACATTGAGAAAAATTCGCATATCAAATAATATTGCAAAACATTCAAAGATATAAGAACTTTTCCAATACTTGTTTGCATTTACATCAGTGACTTCTATATTCTTAACATTTTATCTGTGAAAAATATTGTATTCAAATCTTATCTAATTTTGTTCGATACATTAACAACATATTTGTTTGAAATTTTAAATAATAAATTTCACTAACTAATTAGTAAGAACGTTATCCTTTCGTCACATCAATTATTGTGCAATATGTAGTTTGCAACATGGAACAACCTTTAGCGTACCTTGATTTGTGTTTCCTTCGTGGAGTATATCTAACGAATTTTTTATCTTTGTTTGTTTTCTTACGAATAAATTTACCTCCATTTGTTTACACCTTTTAGAGGTAGGTATTAGAAGCACACTTTGCTTAAGGAACGTAATTGAAATGTTTTGTAACGTAGTTGACGATGTCCAATTCTTTAGAAATACACAGAGTATAATATTGTATGGAATTATGAAGAATTACTAAAGAAGAAGCAATTATTTTCTCATATTTTTCAGAGCTGTTACTTGAAGAATATCGTTGAACAAAAAAGTTTTAAGAGTCTTACTTTTCTAGCAGCAGTGTATTAACGAAATGAAAATAATGCTTACCCTACACGGAGGTTATAGGTATATAGGTATATAGGTTCGATTTGCACCGTGAAAGACATTAAATATTTAGATGCGCGGTTCTAATTCTTATATCACCCCAGGTGTCCGGATCTCCTCGTAAACACGTCAAGAGATAACTGCAAATGTAGGTTCAGTCAATAAGAAATGTCCGTTTCATACGGATCCAAATTACTTACGTAAATCTATTTACGTCACGTGTAAGACGATTGAATAGGAAGTAAGAGTCAGTGTTTAGTATCTGGAAATTCCTTATGATTTCATAAAAAACTTGTCCTTGAGTTAATTTGTTACTAAATGAATCAACTATTAGTTATGAATGACATTAAAGCAATTATATAATTGTAAATACTAGATAAATTTAGGCTTAACGGCAATTCCATCTCAGGCCATACCGGGGTTTTTGGGCACACAAGAATGGGGTCCCGTTGAACAGTAAAAAAAAGTTTTTTGCATCCAGGGATGTACAAATACCACACATCAGGAACGTCGATTGAATTTATTCGTAAAATTTTATAGTTTTCCAGAAAGCACACTTGGTGTCCAGTTGAAAGTACAACCTGACAGGCTTTTATTCCTTGGCCATTTAAATATATTGTCTCTATGACATTAAATACATGACCCAATTTAAATAATTTATTCACCTATAAATACGTTTATCAAAGACTCTGAAAAAGAATTCCGTACGAGAACAGAAATCGCCAGGAGCACATTCATGAAAATGAAAAAACTTTAAAACAACAAAGACATCACACTTAAACTCAGATGGAGAATGGTGAAGTGTTACGTTTTGTCAGTGCTTCTGTATGGGGCCGAGGGTTGGATGCTAAACAAAAATAACGAATTAAAAATTAACGCTTTTGAAATTTAACTGTATAGACGCATGTTGAAGATTTCATAGAGAGATGGAATAACGAATAAAGAAGTAAATAAAAATTAAAAAATGTAAAACCGCATATTTTGGACATATATATAGACATGAGAAATACAACATATTGAAAAATATAATTGAAGGTAAAATAGAAGGAAAACAGGGAAGAGAAAGAATACGAATAACATGGAGTGACAATTTGAAAAATGGACAGACATCAAGGATGCCGTCAGTGTTTGCAGACTGGCGCAGAATAGAAAAGAGTTCCGTATGGTGGTCGCTGACATCCGATAGGGTAGGGCATCCCCAAGACGAAGAAATACATTTTTCCCATTTACACAATTAGGCTAGGCCGGCTAATTTAGTTTTTGTTTTTGATTTCTGACAAAATGCATGTGACAAACTTCCAAGGAATATTTGAAACGTAATTAGAAAGTTCGGATTCGAGAGTCTAATTACGAGCCGATTACATTAAAAACGTTACTTGCACGTGCAAGGTTACAGAGTGCGTGAACTTCGGCAGAGCATGAAGAAGATGTCACGTTTTGACACTTCCAAACTATGCAATATTATCCGGGCCCCCCTGACGATACCATAACGTGTGCCCACACGGGGCTCTCGACCAGGGCCCCAGTAAAGGCGGTACTGCATAAAGGGCTTTGTATATATCCAGTATAATTACACTTATCTCTATAATTACCGTAATAGCCGTGATAGCTCAGCGCTCGCCTTTAATTTAATATACTCGAGCAACCTCCCGAGTTCGATCCCCGGTGCCAGCACCAATGAAATTGTCAATTTTAAGTGCTGAATTATCACGTGCTCGTCGGTGAAGGAAAACATCGTGATGAAACCTGCATATTTTCGAAATAATAACATATAAAAAAATATTTCGAACATATGTGAAGTCCGCCAATCTGCAGTGGGGCTGCCTGGTGGAATATGTCTTGATACCCTCTGTACAGAGGAGGCCTTAGCCCAGCAGCGGGACATGTATAATCTTCATAAACTTTACTATAATTATTCTTTTTGATATGTGTTCATCTATTGTAATGTAATAGAATAATAAATAGCAATGAATAATTGTAAAGTAATAAATTCTTAACGTTAAACTGTAGATGTTATTAATGACCGACGCTGACATTTTCCAGAACAAACAAAATGATTCTAATCGGATCTCGACCTAAAATTAACAGATCGCTTTAAAGCTAAACCAGAACATTGGAGAACGGTACATTCAAGTGAATAACGATGTTCAATACAAATACAAATACAATACAAAAATGTTTATTTCATTAACATATTTCTTTTACAGTTAATAAATATTTGGAGCTACCTTTTAAGCAACAGTTTTGCTTGTGTTAGGCAGCACCGCTCTTCCATAGCATACTTATAATAAACTTAACTAAGTGCAGTACAAATTTTAAAACTAATTTCAAAAATAAAATAAAATAAAAACATTTTCTCTCCGTGTGAATGTATGTTAGTGTATGTGTTAGTATATGTGTTAGTGTGTATGTTAGTGTGTGTGTTAGTGTGTGTGTTTTTTGTTAACTCAACATCAACTCAATTTCAGCGTAATTTTTAGCTTTTAGCCATTCCATAACTGCAATTTTGCATTTTGTGTATGTCATTTCATAAATATTTAGTTCTTTATTAATTTTATTGTATAAGACAATAGCTCTTGTGACATATTGCCTCTTAGCAAAAACTGAATTTGCTCGTGTATGTTGCACCACGTTACATTTTCTTCTAGAATTATTATCTACATGTTGGTAAGGAAGCGATTTGTGTTTACTCAGCACAGTGTTCAAAATATATAATTTTCTAACAGTTAATAAATCAGTAGAAGAGTAAAGTAAGTCTGTTGAGAATTCTCTTGGCTTAAAATAGATAACCTTCAGCAATGATCTCTGAGCTCTCTCCAAGTCTAGAAATCTAGTTTTGACTGCCCCACCCCACACAGTTATGCAATACGTCAAGACAGATTGTGCTAGAGATATATATGTTAGACGGGATAGGTGTTCAGAAGCCACATGCCGTAATGTTTTAAAAGTCCATATAAGTTTTCTTATTCTAATCAAAAGAAGTTCAATGTGACCATGCCATGACAGTCGCTGATCAAGTATAACACCTAAGTATTTTGTACTAGTTACTCTTTTAAGTTCGGCACAGGAGCAAGAGAATGTAGAATCTTTATCACATTGGTGGACAACTATTCGAAAATCAAGCGATGGTTGGCCGCATTTGTTTTTGGTGAAACAAATATAGTTACTTTTTTGAACATTAAGTGACAAAAGATTTGTGTTCAGCCAAGTAGCAATATTAGCCAATCCCGTTTCAGCCCGTGATTTTAGACTTTCCCAATCCTTAGCTGTAAAAGCAATAGCTGTGTCATCCGCATACGAAAAAATGTGACCTCCATCAATTTGCATATTACAGAGCTTATTTATGTAAACAAGAAACAAAGTAGGACCCAGCACAG